TGCTTTCTTTTTAAAAGGAAAAGCATCTCATAAAAAGGTACTTATTATTGAGACAAAATTATCCCTAAATCCCAGGCACTGGTATAATTTATTTGTTAGTGGGCATTTATTTTTATGGCTTTCAATAAGCCCGTATCATTAGGAGCTATTAAACTCCGAGGCCTTTTTTAACAACTGCCCGAGGGTCCACGTTCTCTGGCCTGGCACGCCCGAGCAGCGTCCAGGACAGAGTGGGTGCAGGTGCTCACGCGCTCAGAAAGCACGCCGGCCTGCGTCCAGCGCTGTGCTGGGTCGCCGGGAACGCTCCTGAACACCCAGTGCACCTAAGCAGCGCTCACACAGTTCTCATCTTCGGCTAAAAATAAGATTGTGAATCCATTTCCCAGTCTTTCGAGAAGCCCCTGTGATGATTTACCGAAGACACAAACCACTTCCCTTGTCAGAACCTCACGCATTGACGAGGGAGCTGCCCGTAAATAAGCAGAAGAGAGAGTGCACAGAGGCCAGGGCGGGGCGGGGGGGAGGGGCAGGCACCGCCCGTGGGGAGCAGCCAGGCCGTGGGGAGCAGCCAGGCCGTGGGGAGCAGCCAGGCCGTGGGAGCAGCCAGGCTGGCGAGAAAGGGCAGAGGATAAGCTTGTGCAGGTGTAGGTGTCGCCCGGTCATGGGTGTGGCCAGTGGCTACCTGCATGTAGAAAAGCACTGGTGCTTAATCTAGGTTTTATTGATACGATTGGGGAAAGTGCGTTTTTTTCTCCCTCAACCACATATTTTATTTTTATTTTTTTAAACTTAATGAATCTTTATTGTTCAGATTATTACAATTGTTCCTCCCCCCCCACATAGCTCCCCTCCACCTGGTTCCCACCCACCCTCTGCCCTTATCCCCCCCCCCCCCCCCCGCCCCCGCCATCCTCATCTGTACGATTTTTGTCCAGGCCCTTCCCACACCCTTTTCCCCCTGAGAATTGTCAGTCCACTCCCTTTCTATGCCCCTGATTCTATTATATTCCATTACATTCTAAATCTGTTCATCAGATTTTTAATTCCTTGATATTTAGATTCACTTTCAACCACATATTTTAAGTTGTTACATAATAATCTCAGTGAAGTTACCCCATTTTCCATGCATATGTAATTTTTAGTTAAAAAGTAAAAATGATTCTGTATTACTTTGTGTATTTTTTTATTTTATTTTATTTTATTTTACTTCTCATAGGCAAAACCTACTTTATCAAAGAATGTTCGTGTCGTGGAATTAAAGTACACTGTATTTATCAAAATGAGTTGGTTGCCACCTTATATTTTCCAGCTATTATTCTTCAAGTGGCATTTTAGAAAGTAACTGTTATATTTGGAGCCAAAAAAATATTCTGACAAATGCTAACAGCTCAGCATCCCACTGTTTGATGAAAACTAAGAACTAATGTAAAATACAAGACAAGCCCTCGTTGGGTTGCTCAGTGGTTAGAACACCAGACTGAGGGTGGCCGGTTTGATTCCATCAAGGGCATGTACCTCAGTTGCAGGCTCGATCCCCAGTCCCGAGTCATGGTGCGTACAGGAGGCAACCAATCGATGTGTCTCTCTCACATCGATATTTCACTCTCTGTCTCTCACCCTCCCTTCCACACTCTCTAAAAATCAATGGAAAAAAATATCGTTGGGTGAGGATTAACAACAACAAAACCCACACACACACACACAAAAAAAAAAACCAACCCACGAGACAAAATGAATGTATGATGTCTATATAGTACCCCTACTACGTTTGGCATATCACCGTGGTCTTTCTTAAAACAATAATAGGCCCTGGCCAGTGTGCTCAGTGGTTAGAGCACCAACTGAAGGGCACATATCTCACTTGCAGGCTGGATTCCCTGCCCCGGTTGGGCATGTGCAGGAGGAAACCAATGGATGTATCTCTCTTACATCGACATTTATCTGTTATTTCTCTCTCTTCCTCCCTCCGTTCCACTCTCTCAAGAAAAAAAAAAAAAAATGGAAAAAATATCCTTAGGTAAGGATTAACAAAAACAAACAAACAAAAATAATAATAGGCCGAAACCGGTTTGGGTCAGTGGTAGAGTGTCGGTCTGCAGACTGAAAAGTCCCGGGTTCAATTCCGGTCAAGGGCATGTATCTTGGTTGCGGGCACATCCCCAGTAGGGGGTGTGCAAGAGGCAGCTGATCGATGACTCTCTCTCATTGATGTTTCTAACTCTCTATCCCTCTCTCTTCCTCTCTGTAAAACATCAATAAAATATATATATTTTAAAAACAAAACAAAACAATAATAGACTCCTGGCATATGCTGCGACAGCAGGACACGTGAAACATTGGCCAAATATTTGGTGTGTGTGTAACCACTCAGCAAGTGTTTATCGACTGCTTGCCGTGTCAGGCCGCCGTGCTAGGCTCTGCACTGGGGACACAGAAGCGAATAGCTGTGTTCTTGTCACGTACCGTCCTTCGGAGTTCAGAGGGGAAGACAGACAAAAACAGATGAATGGAAACGAAAAGGAAAAGTGACAAATGGTGGCAAGCATTACTAAGGAACAGATAGGCCATTGTAAGTATAGACTCGTCCACATTAGAAAGTCATCCCCGTGTTAAGATGTGTTCCAGCTTCTTGCTGGGCATTTCATACTGATCATCTTGTTCCAGAGTGACTTTGAAAAGAGCTTATGGATTTGACCAAGTGGTGCGTAGACCTTTATTTAGGCAACAGAAAGAAACATTGACTGACTGCTGATGTGCCAGGCACTGTTCTAGGCCCAAGAGAAGAAGCGGTGGACAAAACAGGCATTGTGTTTGGGCGACTTCTGCCCGGCGGGGAGACCGCAGACAAATACGGGATAAAAGTCCGGAAGTGGTCGGTGACGGGAAGAAAATAGACGGGTAAAGCGACCAGACCGTGACGTTACTTGGGTGGACTGAGAAGGAGGCTCTGAGGAGAGAAACGTTTTTCCTTCTTGTGTCTCTTGGGTCAGTTCAGTTAACGAACGCAGGATGCAGGATTGCTTTCCTGTCCGCTGGAACCTTTTCTTTTTTTTAAAATATATTTTATTGATTTTTTTTTTTTTTTAAGAGAGAGGGATAGAAAGTTAGAAACATTGATGAGAGAGAATCATCGATCAGCTGCCTCTTGCACACCCCCTACTGGGGATGTGCCCGCAACCAAGGTACATGCCCTTGACCGGAATCGAACCTGGGACCTTTCAGTCCGCAGGCGACGCTCTATCCACTGAGCCAAACCGGTCCTGGCAGTCCGCTGGTATCTTTCACGAGTCACTACAAGAACCGTGGTGAGGTCTTCTCTCCAGTTCCCTTCACTAAAGGAGACTAAAACCTGCATTCTTTTATTCATCCTTCTTTCATCCCATACGTGTAAATGCCTATGCGCCTCCGTCCGTCCACCCATCCATCCCTTTACCTTTTATCAAAAAAAAACAAAAAACATGCTTTGGTGTCTCTTCCAAGTTTCCAAAATCTTGGGACATGATTTATGTGATTAAAAATGACATTGTACAATTCAATGTCTTCCAGATGTTTGATCGTAATGCGGAGGGAGCTCCTTCATCCAAGAGTCTCTCCCCTGGTAAACGCTCGGCCATCGAAACGTGATGTCTTGGGTGACGGTGGTGATCTCAGGCCCCCCCCCCCCCCCAAAGCTCTAAATAAACTTGCACACCGCTCACGTGTCCTATAGCATTGCGCAAGGCTAAAATAGGTAGCTGGCGCCCTCCCCACGCCCCGCTGCTGGCTAACTGACGAGGCCCATAAATAGCTCAGGGTTATGCTATTGGATAACGATAACTAACCGAGATGGGGTTTTTATTTCCTAACCCAGTCCTGTCGTCTCTGGTATTCAACAAGAGCGAGCTCTCATCGACAGGACCCCAACCGTAACGGCTCTTGGGAGAACTGTGCCAATCAATAGCCACATTTTTTAGGATGGGATTAGAGATAGCCCTGCCTTATATCAGAGTTAGAGCAAGGTTCCGTGTTCGTCCCTTCTGTGGACATGAAAGTCATGTTACCACTGCAGTCAGGTTAAGCCCAGAGTGTTCCTGCCAGATGAATTTAGAATTCTCAGGTGGGTCTGAGAAGGCATCTTGGTAGTTTTATGAGACTTTCGTTTGTTTTTTTCCTGAAATCGAGAGCATATTTTAAAAACCTGCCCACGATTGGAATATAATGGTTCTTGTTTCTGACTCTCCGCTGGAATGTATTGTTTTTATGTCTGGAAGGTTTCTAAAGGCCGTCATTTAACAGAACATTGCTTCTTAAATTCCTTAGCCATGGCTCAGAAGGTGAACCTTGGGATGTTTTTCCCATAAAGTTGTGCCCTTCGTGTGCAGAGCGTTGTTGCTTAGGTAACTAGTCATCATCCATAGGGTTCTATCCATGCTTCAGACATCTTCACTTTCCTCTTTTTAAAAAATGGCAGTATGTTTGCTGCGATTCTTAAAAGTCAAAACAAGAATATGAAACAAGTGATTTTTAAAAATCCCCATGCTAATTATGTATCATTACTATTCAGATGCTGCTTATGGTTGCTTCAAGTTCTGAACAAAAGTAAAGAAAATGAGCCTAACTAGTGGTCAAGGACAATAGGGGGGTGGGCGATTGGAATGGGGGGTTGAGGACAAATATGTGATACCTTCATCAATAAAGAAATTTTAAAGTAAAGAAAATGTCTATGATATCAAAGCTATAGGCAGTTCTCCCCCTAAGGCTGCCTTGCACTTCTGCTTCTAGGACTTCGATTTATGGGCCAGTCAGAGCTTTATGGGCCCACTTAGGTACCTTCCCATGGCCGCCTACATCCTGAAAACATTGTAACGCTAACATTCAGTTCAAGAACCCTGATCCTCAGTCTACCAGAAAGGGCTTAAAAAGCAATTATCTCCAGCTTTTTAACTACATTAATATTTATTCTTGTGGACTTAAAAGGGGAAGAAAAACACCACCCAAACCCCCGGTTGTTTGTTCGGCAGGTTGTGAACATGGCCGTGTGGATCCAGGCCCAGCAGCTGCAGGGGGATGCCCTGCACCAGATGCAGGCCCTGTACGGCCAGCACTTCCCCATCGAGGTGCGCCACTACCTGTCCCAGTGGATCGAGAGCCAGCCCTGGTGAGTGAGCGGCTTTTCTCTGTCACACTTCATGAAGCACAAGCATATTCACATTTGGAAAGATAACACGATGGGGACTCCAAAACTTACACCTTAAAAAAAAAAAATCCTGACTCATGAAGAGGTATTTGGCGCCATCTGAAATTTTAGAAAGATAGAATGACTCTTAGGGTTTTTTGGTTTTTTTTTTTAAAGGGTATCTTCCACCCGGCTGGCATGACTCAGAGGTTGAGCATTGACCTATGAGGTCACAGGTTGTGGGCTCAATCCCCAGAATGGGGCATGCAGGAGGAAGCCGATCAATGATTCTTTCTCATCATTGATGTTTCTGTCTCTCTCTCTCTTTCTCTCTGAAATCAATTAAAAAAAAATTTTTTTTAAATAGGATATCTAAAAATAAAAATAAAAAAAATATATATCTTCTCTTTAATTCTGGCTAAAAACGTTTGAGCATTGCAGCTAGTAAAACCCAATGAACCAATGTTTTGAGTGCCTGTAGGGTGCCTAGCAGAGTCCTAGGTAGCAGAGTTCATATGAAAAAATTAAAACCTTTGTCCACATAGAATTTAGTGCTGAATGGGACAGATAAGGTATGTCTATTCACATAATAATAATAATAATAATAATAATATTGTTAACAAATTTAACAATGGAGAGACATTGGTGTTTTTACGTTTATATGTAAATTATATAGACACAAAAAGACTAAATCTTGATGGCAGATGTAATAAGCATGTTTATTTTTCTTGTTTTCAAATTACTCTTTATTATATGTTGGGGGGGGGTTGTTTTTAAACTCCTTTAGAATGAGTACAATGCAGCCAGCTGATAAGGAGTATTTGTCATTGACACTGTCACACCCAGGCAGCAGGATGCCTGCTGCTCTGCTCAGGGCCTGACGCAGGTTGGTTTGTCACCAGCCTGTCAATCTGATCTGACAGACTCAGCCTCTGCTTCAGGCCTGCATCACTGCGGGTGGCGGGTGGCGGGTGGCGGGTGCGGGTGGCGCGGCCTCTCTGACAGACCCGGGGTGGGGAGGGCGGTTCGGGGAGAGGGGGAAGGGGAGAGACAGCCTTCACGCTTTTCAAGAGGGCTGCATCCCTGGCAGTAGCACTGCCGGGCAGAGTCGCAGTTGTGAAATTAGTGGCAAATTTCTCTCCAGAAACTAGAGAGCACCAGGTAGGCAATTTTCTAGGCAATTAAAAAAAAAAAAAAAAAAAATCAGCCTCGTGTAATTAAGTGAGAAAAAAAAGAGCTAAATGTGAGCATGCCAACTAACTGCACCTTGCTTCATGCTTTTCCATTTCCTTTCCCTTTTTAATGATCTCGAAGAGTTCAGAAAGACATGAAGAGGAAGTTTCTGTTTATTCAAAATTTCATTTGATAGAGTTTCCACGTCGTCTTCCTACTGAGCAAATGTTAAAAGACTTGTTGATAGTAAAGGAAATCTGAATTTTATTTAGTTAAAAAAAAATTTCCCCCCCATGGCAGTGACATACAATGTTACATTCATTTCAGGTATACAACATAGTTATCAGACATTTATTTAACTTATGAAGTTCTCGCCCCGATAACTCCAGAATTTTCCCTCGTTTGGGTTTTCTCAAGAATATAAAGATTTTAGCCGGGACCGGTTTGGCTCAATGGATAGAATGTCGGCTTGGGGACTGAAGGGTCCCGGGTTCGAGTCCGGTCAAGGGCATGTACCTTGGTTGCGGGCACATCTCCAGTGGGGGGTGTGCAAGAGGCAGCTGATTGATGGATGACTCTCTCTCATCGATGTTTCTAACTCTCTATCTCTCTCCCTTCCTCTCTGTATAAAATCAATAAAATACATTAAAAAAAAAAAAAAAAAAAAGAACATAAAGATTTTAGCCTGGCCGGCGCGGCTCAGTGGCTGAGCGTTGACCGATGAACCAGGAGACCACAATTCGATCAGGGCACATGCCCAGGTTGTGGGCTCAGTCCCCAGTGGGCGATGTGCAGGAGGCAGCCAATCAATGTTTCCCTCTCATCATTGATGTTTCTCTCTCTCCCTCTCCCTTCATGTCTGAAATCAATAAAAAAAAATATTTTAAAAAGGAATATAAAAATTTTAATAAAAATGTCCAGTCCTTCATGTACACAGTAAGAAAATATTTTTTTTTGGGGGGGGGGGCGGGAAAGAGGTGACTGAGGGGGAAGGAACAGAGAATTAACTGCAAGCACCAGTGCTTGTTTTCCATGAGTTTTGCTCTGAGGCTGGATCTTCTCAAGGATGGCTTCCTGGGACGAGGAGCCTTGTTGCCAATTGACACCGGGGTGCATGCTGGGCCGCCATCCCTTCCTCCCAGTCTTTTATTTAATGTCTGTTTTATTTGGTCCGTGGAACATGCACATTGCACATCTGACTTTCTCTCCTGCCTTCTCCAAGTGCACATTTCAGCATATCGTTTGATGAAGTCCGCTATCAGTGTGTGGTACCCCTGCTGGGCCTCTGTTTGAAATTAGTCGCTAGCTGCACCAAATCTCTTGTTCGGCTCTAGACCTGAGCAACAGTAACTGAGTATTATTTCAGTCTGATAGCTGTTGGGTTTCTGCAGTGAGCAGAGTAATTAAGTTCTGCTAAATAGCAACTCCTGCCTTAAATTGTTTAAAACATGAGAGCGTCCAAGAGAGGGGGGTTGAGAAGGGGGGGATGGAGAGAGGGGGGAAGGGAGGCCACCCAAACCCTGTCACCGGTTGCCTGGCTCTGTGCGAATGCAGCGTCTCCGGTTCCCCAGGGGAGTTAGTGCTGCTGCAGGTCCCAGGCCTGCGACCTGTGCGAACACTCGGGGGAAGCGTCTGTCTGAAGAAGTCATTTCCGAGGCTCCTTAGAAACAGCAATGAGTGCTGTTTCACCTGTCTTCGGAAAATACTCTCTGTGACATTAGCAACATATAGAACCAGTCGAGGGTGGGGGGAAAAAAGTAGACCATTCTGGACATTGTGTCCCTTACACCATGAAGGGGTGACTATAAATAGGAAATTATCGGAGCCCTATTTCCTTCAGGGCACTCACAGCCCTTTCCTCTCCATTCCCGGCAGAGAGCATAAGCACCAGAGCACGTGTAGGAGGAAGGAGAAAGGGCAGTACATTGTAAAAAAAAATAGGAAGGAAGGAAGGAAGGAAGGAAGGAAGGAAGGAAGGAAGGAAGGAAGGAAGGAAGGAAGAAAGGAAGGAAGGAAGGAAGGGAGAAAGAACAAGAGAAAGAAAATAGGGTCCTATACAGTCCACTCATGCAGTCGGTGGGTTAGGATTGGACTCATGGAGGCATCTCGTCAGTCTGAACGGAACCTCCCCTAAAGTTTGCCGAGAGCTTTATGCCGAGATCTCTGTAGCCAAAGACGAGGTGCGACGTGTTGAGGCTGCATTTGTATAGGCTCGTGTGCATGTATGTATACATATGTATGTAATTTTTTTCCCCTAGGGACTCAATAGATCTTGATAATCCACAGGAGAACATTAAGGCCACCCAGCTCCTGGAGGGCCTGGTGCAGGAGCTGCAGAAGAAGGCGGAGCACCAGGTGGGGGAAGACGGGTTCTTGCTGAAGATCAAGCTGGGGCACTACGCCAAGCAGCTCCAGGTGGGTGCGAGCCTGGTCACCGCTGTCCTCCCCCCCCGGGCGGGACCCCTCCTTCGTGAAGTCCTCCCTCTCCAGCCCAGCGCGGGCGGCCAGGTTGCCTGCATAAAGATCCTGTTGTTTATTGTCACGGCTGTCACTCTCTTTAGACGTTGTATCTGAAAATGACTTCAAGTTTATAAAAAGTTGCAAGGTTGATACAAAGACCCCGTTGTTAACATTGGCTTTATGGTAGGATCTCCACATACACGCATTGTTTTGGTCCCTGGAGAGTAAGTTGTGCATACCGTGTCCCTTTCCCTCTGCCCTAAGCACCTCCGAGTCCATTTCCCTTACACCGTTGTTATCCTGTTAGCGCCATCAGTGAACGGTGCTTGGACAGAACACCCGCAGGTGACGTTACGTCCGTCTTCCCATCTTGTCCAATGACCTTTCGGGCACTTTTCCCCCCTCCCGGCCAGGATCCAGTCCCAGGTCACGTCTTGCATCTAGTCATCCTGTCTCTTTAATTGCCTTCCATCTGGAACTGTTTTCTCAGCCTTTCTTTGTCTTTTGCTACACGAACATGCTGAAGTAACGTAGCGCCTCTGCTTTTTAAGATAAAACGTATCTCACGTCGGGTCTGTGTGGCGTTTCCTCATGATTAGACTCAGGTTACACAACCCTGATCCGCACTCTTAAGTGTTGTCACATCCTTCTCACGGAATCACATCTGAGACGTACAATGTCCATCTCCCCGTCTCTGGTGGGGTATTTTTTTAAAAATATATATATATTTTATTGATTTTTTTTTTTTTTTTACAGAGAGGAAGAGAGAGGGATAGAGAGTTAGAAACATCGATGAGAGAGAATCATCGATCAGCTGCCTCTTGCACACCCCCTACTGGGGATGTGCCCGCAACCAAGGTACATGCCTTTGACCAGAATCGAACCCGGGACCTTTCAGTCCGCAGGCCGACACTCTATCCACTGAGCCAAACTGGTTTCAGCTGGTGGAGTAGTTTTGATTGCCCAGCAACGTGCTGTCCAGATTCTCCTCTGATGTGGCCTTTTTTGGGGTTTATCCTTCCTGTGTCCAAGAAGGATGCCCTAGTACTCGGGGCAAATTAGGGTGCAAGAAGTACTAGTAAAATACTCTTCTCTTCTTCTTAGGCCTTTGACAACGTGCTTTCCTTGTCCCCCATTGATATGGGGGGAGCGACACACCTCGTGATTACCCCGTCGTGTCTCTAGGCGTCTCCTCTAAGGCGGGGGTAGGCCCCGAGCTCGGAGTGGGACCAAGCGACTGTCTGCTCTTGGATTCTTTCAGAACACGTATGACCGCTGCCCCCTGGAGCTGGTCCGCTGCATCCGGCACATTCTGTACAACGAGCAGAGGCTGGTCCGAGAAGCCAACAACGTGAGTGCCCCCTGGGCGTGGGGAGAGGAGCTGGGGACCCCCATCTCGCCCACTTCCCTCCGGACCCCGTTTGTCATGGTGACCATGGTGTCTCTATAAACAGAGCCTGTCCTAAAGGAAACAGAAGACCATACTCTGGTCTTAACTGGTTTATAGCCTCGATGAGCTCGCAGCCACAAAACAATTAGTAATTCAACCCCAAATGGGTCGCTTTTCAGTAAAGTCATGTCTATACTCAGGTGCGACTTCTGCCCGCCTCCTCTGGGCCAGCGGTTGGGGAAAGAAGGGATCAGACCGGGCCTCGTACATGCCTGGGTCCACAAAGCCCCTGTGGATGCCTCCGTGTACCTTCCCTTCGGGGTCTGCAGGATGACCCCTGGGAGAGGGGCCCCCGTCTCCCTCTCCCCTCAGTCACAAGTAGGTCTTGAGCGAGAACAAAGACCATGTGTGTTCACCTGCCTGCTCCCCACTCTGTCCCCAGGGGTCATCACCCTTAGTGGGAAAACCCAGGTGACTTAGAAGGGCATCAGATGGGCCGTGAGAGGCCAGAGCTGCCCTAGGCATTCCTCCTGTGTTTGAGGAAGACGCCAGGATCCGCCAGCTCCCCCTTTTCTCCTCCTTCCCCGCTCTACGCCAGTTCTCACACATGACGTCAGCAATGCCGGGGACTCAAAAGGAAGATAATGGAGTTCCATCCCCCTGATGGGTGCCGGCCGATCCCTTGCGTTCGGGCCCGAGGTGGGCGGTCTCCGGTCCTCGCTGCCCAGCTCACGGCCGCCCACGCTCTGCCCCCGTCTGTGTCCAGGGCGCCTCACCGGCGGGAAGTCTGGCCGACATCATGTCCCAGAAGCACCTTCAGATCAACCAGACCTTCGAGGAGCTGCGGCTGGTCACGCAGGACACGGAGAGCGAGCTGAAGAAGCTGCAGCAGACGCAGGAGTACTTCATCATCCAGTACCAGGAGAGCCTGCGGATCCAGGGTGAGGCGGGAGCGGGGCTGGAGGAAGCTCGGATCCGGTCGGGAGAGAACCGGCTGCCTCTCTCTCTGGAGTATCGGGGCATCGTTAGGGTTGGGAAAGTGAGGCCTGGGGAGGGGAGAGGGCAACGTCTTGCCTTCGGAGAGGATGGAGCTCACTCAAGCTTCCCATACCCAGCTGGCTCTGGTCTTGCAGGAAGGTACTCCCGGTCCAGTCAGCAGCACCCGGGCGATAGTTTTGTGTGTGATCGGTGTTGCTTACGCTCTGAGCCGGGCTGGTATAAGGGCTGAGGAGCGTGTTTCTGGTGACAAACTTCTCACGTTCTGCACAGCTGTTCAGAGAGGCCAATCCTGGGGCACATCAGTGCCCGCAGACAAAGGCCCCCTTCCTGGTGGGGATGCAGCCTGGTTCTCTGGGTACAGAGAACGTCAGGGTCAGTCCGGAGGCTGTGGAGCCTCCACAGCACCCTCTGTTGGCCTTGTGGGCGCCTGGCAATGTGGTTTCCTCTCCCCACTTGCGTGCCCCGCTCAGTCTCAGAGAAGCTTGGCCACGGTGTTCCACCGACCAGCCATCCAGAAACACACACATGCACATGCAGTGTGCTCGTCCATCACCATGCGTGTGGGCACCGTCCGATAGTCATGTCGATATTATTTATTATCTGTGTCTTCCCCACTAGCATGTGAAGGGACTTTGAGAAGGGACTGCGTCTTGCATCTCTGCACCCTGCGGCCAGCACATGGCCTGAGTCACAGCAGGTGTGGAATAGACGTCAGTGGGATGATTCTAGCATGTCTTCTTCCACACTTGACTGGCCCCAGGAGGGTGGGGGAAAGCCCACTTCCTAGGTGAGGGAACAGGGCAGCCACACTATCAGTTCTGTCCCAGGCCGGGCACCGGTGACCACGTCGATGATCCTGTTCCTGGTTCTCCGTTTCCTGTGTGTGGGTTTGGGTTTGGGTTCGTACCCCTCACACAATGTCAGTTCGGTCTCACTTACCAGGTTCCCCATCAGAAACACAGACTATTGATCTGTTGTGCAGGGAAGGCTCCGTTCCCTCCAGCGGAGCAGACAATTGCCCCACCTCCCCTGGCATCCTTCCCAGAAACGCCTGCCTGTCGCCAGGAGAGACTAACCGGGTCGCTCCCAGAGGGAGGCGGGACCAGGTGTTGAGGACGCCCCCGCCCCCCGCCCTGTGGAGGCGAGGCTCCCGAGGCGGCACCCAGGGCCCCCGCTGGCTCCCCGCTGGACGCTGCCCTTCCCGCCCGGGCCCCTGCGGGGAGAGGGGAGCCAGGTCTCCGCCTTCCCTCCTCGGCCGGGCTCTTCCTGGCGGTCCGGAGCTGCTCTGGTCCGTCCCAGCCTGAGTGACCTTGGGGTGGGGCCTCGGTCAGGGTGACATGGGCCTCAGAGGCCTGCCAGGAGCTGGACCAAGACGTGCTGATGCTCACCTCGCCTTGACTCAGCCCGAGGAAGGACCCTGCGAGTTCCCAATGGCCATTGGCTGCGCATGATCACCCCAGAACGGAGGGCAGCGGCTCCCCTGGCGGGGGTGGGGTGGGGAATGGGGTTGCAGGCTGTGGGGGTGGGCGGTGGCTTTGGTTGGGAAATGCTGGATTTCTTAAGCTGGTCATGAAGTCACAGGTGCTTCTATGTGATTCTTTCTGCCTCCCCTGTGTTGTACGTATTTCATAGCTGATGTTTTTACGACGGTAACTGTGTCTCTCAGACTCCCCATTCCTGCCATTGCTGAGCTTCCTCACACTGATATGAGGCGAGCTGCCTCTTTTTCCTCAGAGAATATTCCTACTTTTTTCTTCTTCTTAACTTATTTAGTTAATTTTAAATCCCCACCTGAGGACAGAGAGGGAGAACGTTGAGCGTTTGCCCTCTGTGGGTGCCCTGGCTGTTGGGGGCACCAGAGGATGCTCAGGCAGCTGAGCCACTGCAGGAGGCGCCAGTCTCGCTGCTGTTGTGTAGGCCCCTCCCCCCCTCTTCTTTCTTCTCCATCTTCTCTCTCTCCTCGTCCTGTTGGCCGGCTGAGCTCACCGTGCCCCAACCTGGACACACGTGCTGGGCGCCTTCCTGGGCAGAGACACTCCTCCCCCCAAGGAGAGGAGCTAGCTGTGCCTGGAGGAGGCGGCCAGGCCGGGAGCAGAGCCTCCCCAGGAGGCCAGGCCTGCGGGTGAGGGGGCGCTGGGAGCTGCGGGTCCCTCCCCTCAGGCCTGTCCTGCAGCCCATGGAGCAGCAAGGACCAGCTCTCACCAGGAGCTTCCCCGTGCCAGCGGCTTCCTGAGCGTTCTCCATGTCAGCCTTCTGTCCCCACGCAGCCCGCTGAGGCAGGGAGCGGGCTTCCCCGTGTGCACCCGGGGAGACTGAGGCACAGGAGAGAGAAGGGGTTCCCCGAGTCCACCCAGCTAGCCAGTGGCCGGGCCGAGGCAGACGAGGCAGCGTGGCTCCAGGCTGGACCCCGAGGTGGCTGAGGAGGGCTGGGCCCGGCTGTGCGGGCGAGGGCGGGAGCACCCTCCTCAGCTGCACCCACAGCCTCTGCCTCCCGGTCTCTGGAGGGGAGCTCAGCGTTGGGGGGCCAGGCAGTGACGCCGGCTCCTCTGGGGCCCTGGGCTGCCAGACCCCTGACTTGCCGTCGACACGTCCCCTGGAGGGTCTTGTCTGCGGAGCGAGGGAGCGTGGCTTCTCTGGGTTTCCTGCTGGGAGCCGGGCACCGTGGCCACGGGTGTGCTGTCCCCCCGCAGCCCAGTTCGCCCAGCTGGCCCAGCTGACCCCGCAGGAGCGCCTGAGCCGGGAGACGGCCCTGCAGCAGAAGCAGGCGTCCCTGGAGGCCTGGCTGCAGCGCGAGGCGCAGACGCTGCAGCAGTACCGCGTGGTGAGTGGGCGGCCGTCCTCCGGGCGTGGGGGCCGCGTCCTGAGCTGCCGGGACCGAGAGGGGCGGCCAGGACCCCGGGTGGGGGGCCAGGACCCCGGGTGGGGGGCCGGGACCCCGGGTGGGGGGCAGGGGGCCTGTGGGGCCCGTGAGGCAGAGCAGGCGGGGGTTGGGGGGACCGGCCTCCTGAGCGAGCCTGCCCCCCCTCAGGAGCTGGCCGAGAAGCACCAGCGGACCCTGCAGCTGCTGCGGAAGCAGCAGACCATCATCCTGGACGACGAGCTGATCCAGTGGAAGCGGCGGCAGCAGCTGGCCGGGAATGGGGGCCCCCCTGAGGGCAGCCTGGACGTGCTGCAGTCCTGGTAATGGGGGTGGGGGCCGGGCCGGCAGGGAGGGGGGCAGGGGCTCGGGGTGGTCTACCAGCTGCTCATTCTGCTCCGTGTTTCCATGTGCAGCCGCTCGCTCTGTCCGTGGCAGGTCTTGCTTCACCCGTGGTCTGGCTCCCGACACAGACCTGGGAGCCGCAGTCATGCCCTCCCTGGGCGGGGGTCACTGTGCTGGGGGTGGGCAGGGCCAGGTGCTCGGGCTGGTTGGGTACACATCAGGGTCCCGCCTCCTGGGCGTCTGTGTTTCTGGAAGTCAGGGCAGCCCCTGTCCTGCTCTGCCCAGTGGACAGGAGTGGGCGCTGAGGTGCCAAGCCTTCCTGGGGGAGGTGGGGCTGGGTCCTGGGGGGCTCCCCCCAGCCGGGCGCCTCTCCCCTGTGGCCTGGGGGAGGGGTGAAGGCCTTGTCCTCTCCTCTGGCCCCGCGGCGGGCGTGCAGGTGTGAGAAGTTGGCCGAGATCATCTGGCAGAACCGGCAGCAGATCCGCAGAGCGGAGCACCTGTGCCAGCAGCTGCCCATCCCCGGCCCCGTGGAGGAGATGCTGGCGGAGGTCAATGCCACCATCACAGACATCATCTCAGCCCTGGTGACCAGGTGACTGCAGCCTCTCGGCCCCGCCCAGCCCCGCATGGAGTTGGCTGGGGGAGGCAGGGGTGCTTTGCAGATGGGGGGCGGGAGGGCTCTCACTGGAGTCCTCGTCTGCCTGCTCACACCCTTTCCCTTCTGTCCCCATTGTCTCTGCGAGCGCTCCCCGGGCTGCCCTTGCTTCCTGCACCCGTGCCCGCTGCCCAGTCCCTTTCCCGGCCTCCCCTCCCGCCATCCCCTCGCAGGGTCTCCCAGGCCCCGTGCCCTCCCTCTGCCCGCCGAGCCCTGCGGGAGGCCCGGCCCCTGAGGCAGCGTCTCGCCCCTGGGTCCCGCAGCACGTTCATCATCGAGAAGCAGCCCCCGCAGGTGCTGAAGACCCAGACCAAGTTCGCAGCCACCGTGCGCCTGCTGGTGGGGGGGAAGCTGAACGTGCACATGAACCCGCCCCAGGTGAAGGCCACCATCATCAGCGAGCAGCAGGCCAAGTCGCTGCTCAAGAACGAGAACACCCGCAAGTACGTGCGTCCCTGCCTGTGTCTCGGCCGCGTTCCCGGGGGCCTGGCCGTGGGAAGGAGGGCTCCCCCGGGCGCTCTCTGTGGGTGCTGGCGCGGCCAGGGCACGCTCGGTCCCCAGGCGCCGGATGTGCCGCGCCAGCTCAGCCAGGTTCGGTGGCCCTGAGCGGGGGCGGTGCAGGATGGAGAAAAGACAGACAAGGGAGTGAAAGCTGGGTCTGGGTGGGACGCTGCCCGCTCCGATGGAGAGCTAGCGACAGCGCCACGGACTGCACGCCGTGTCTTTATTTTACAGCCGATGCCACAGGGCAAAGAAGGGCCCGGTTTGGCATCCGCGGACTGATGGGTCCCAGGTTCGATTCCGGTCAAGGGCATGTGCATTGGTTGCGGGCACATCCCCAGTGGGGGGTGTGCAGGAGGCAGCTGGTGGATGTTTCTAACTCTCTATCCCTCTCTCTTCCTTTCTGTAAAAAATCAGTGAAATATATTTAAAAAAAAAAAAAAAAAAAAGTAAGGGCTTGGTCAAGATGTTGACAACCTTCTGGTGGGTTTCGATCCTACTCAGTTACACGCACCTGAACTCTGTCAAACCCACATCACTCCGGTACCTGGGGCCACGTGTTCGGACCATAGCTGTTGGCTGTCATTGTGCGGGGAGGGCTCCGCCCTCCAAGCTGGGACTTGCACGTGGCCCCGAGAGGACAGTGCCCTGTCATCGGTCCGAGGCTTGAACCTGTGCAGACACGGTGGCTGCTCTCCACAGCCGTCCTATGTGGGAGCCCCAGCCGCCCCTCTGGCCGCTCTGGCTCTCAGAACGAACAGAAGGGGTTCTTCTGTGAAGGTAGTGTGATTGGGTTTCACCTAGTCGAAACCCTGTGTATATTTTATGTATATTTATTTCTTGTATGTTTCATGGAGCTAACCTTTCTTCTAAATGACAGATTTTTATTTTTTTATGTTTTAAATGTATTTTTTATTTCAGAGAGGAAGGAAGTGGGGAAGAGAGAGAGAGAGAAAGAGAGAGAGAGAGAGAGAGAGAAACATCAATGATGAGAGAGAATCATTGATCGGCTGCCTCCTGCACGCCCCCGACTGGGGATCGAGCCCACAACCCAGGAGCCTGTGCCCCTGACCGGAATCGAACCTGGGACCCTTCAGTCCTCAGTCTGACTCTCTGTCCACTGAGCCAAACCAGTCATGGCGGGACATAAGGTTTTAAATACCTTCCGTGGTTCCTCCGACCCCGAGCGTATCTCTGCCCGCTGTGAGCTGAGACCCTGCGTGGGTTTGAACGGCGTCTCTCTCTGGTTTGCAGTGACTACAGTGGCGAGATCCTGAACAACTGCTGTGTGATGGAGTACCACCAGGCCACAGGCACGCTCAGCGCCCACTTCAGGAACATGGTGAGGGTGGCGGGCGGGGAAGAGCAGATCCTCCCTGTGTATCCGAGGACCGTGTCACCTTAGCTTTCTCCTCGGCAGTCCCTGAAACGCATCAAGAGGTCGGACCGTCGTGGGGCAGAGTCCGTGACGGAAGAGAAATTTACAATCCTGTTCGAATCACAGTTCAGTGTTGGTGGAAACGAGCTGGTTTTTCAAGTCAAGGTAAAGCCCCCCCTCAGCCGGTGTCTCTGAGCACTTATATCCCACGAGAATGGTTTGGGTCACACAGTCCCTCTTTAAACATTTTTTATGGATGAAAGTGAGGATGGATGTTTGTTACTTGCTTCACCCTCCTCCTCCCCCCACTCCACCTCCCCCCAAAAAATGTCTCCATACTCTCTCTCTTTTTTTTAAATTTTTTTTTAAATTGATTATGGTCTCACATAATTGTCCTTATTCCCCCATTCCCATCCCAAACTCCTCCCTACATATGCCCTCCCCCCAACAACCCCCGTTGTCCATGGCCACTGGCCAGGCCCATATGTATGCACACAAGTCCTTTGGTTGATCTCTTCCCCTTACCCCCATCCTCCCTTACTTTCCCTCTGAGGTTTGAGAGTCTGATCGCTGCTTCTCTTTCTCTGGGTCTGTTTTTGTTCATCAGTTTACGTTGTTCATTATTTCCTCTAGATGTGTGAGATCATGTGATCCAAGAAATACCCCTGTAAGAACCTAAGCTGCAACAAGCCGTAATGGTTATGCTGAGAGGTCTCTCTCTTTTTTAAGAAAAATGTTTTTATTGATTTCAGAGAGAGGAAGGGAGAGAGAGAAGCATCAATGATGGAATAAAAGCATTGACCAGTTGCCTCCTGTACGCCCCCTACTGGGGATCAAGCCCACAGCCCAAGCTTGTGCCCTGACCTGGAATGGAACTGTGATCTCCTGGTTTGTGGGTCAATGCTCAACCACTGAGCCACACCGGCCGGGCCACACTCTCTCTTCTCTCTCTTGTTCTCTGTGTCACTTAGAGAACTTAGCCCATCCTTCAGAAATACCTAATAAAATCTGTTTTACCAGATCTAAACTGTCTTAAGATTTTGCCAGTGTGGATGGAAAAGTCATGTCGTTATCGGAGCCGTTTCCATGCTGTGTCCCAGGGGACACGTGCGGGAACTTGCAGAAGAATGAACATACTGTGATTGAAGAAAAGAAGAGAAGGGGCGCTCAGCCCTTCTGTGTCTTTGCAGACCCTGTCCCTCCCGGTGGTGGTGATCGTCCACGGCAGCCAGGACAACAACGCGACGGCCACTGTGCTCTGGGACAACGCGTTCGCAGAGTCTGTGAGTCTGCCCCGCGGACCTCCGGCCTCCAGCTCTGGATGCTGGTGTCGTGAATCTCTCTCACGTGCTATCCCCACGAGAGCATAGACGAAGGGAAACGCTGTTTCTGTTGGTGGGAGACAGAAGGGAGTGTGTGTGGAAAATGGAAAGAGCCCCAACCGGTTTGGCTCAGTGGATAGAGCATCAGCCTGCGGACTCAAGGGTCCCAGGTTCAATTCCGGTCAAGGGCATGTGCCTTGGTTGCGGGCACATCTCTAGTAGGAGGCGTGCAGGAGGCAGCTGGTCGATGTTTCTCTCTCATTGATGTTTCTAGCTCTCCATCCCTCTCCCTTCCTCTCTGTAAAAAATCAATAAAATATATTTTTTTAAAAAGAAAAGAAAATGGAAAGAGGGTGGGCTTGAAGCCAGGCCAAGGTTTCAGGGCACGTCGCACCGTGTCCTCACTCTGTGGCTGTGGGAAAGCCACTCTCCCTCTCTGGGCTTAAGGCCCCTCAGTGTCTGCCACCCGGAAACATAATGCTCCATGAGGTTGTTGGGAAGATAAACCACATAACGCACAAAATGCTTGTCTCAGACGCCGTGCTCAGGAAGCTTTGTTTTGACTCCGTGGGTGAAGCCATACGTGGACGTTGGGACTCCCAGGTTCCTTCTAGAGAGACCTCTCAGGAGGTCCCTTTGGCTTAGAAGTTGCTTCCTGTCATCCTCCCTCCAGTGAAAGGGTGACATTTACTTTCCAAATGTTAGGTTCTGTGATTCATCCCAGGTCTCTCATGAAGAATGAGATGCTTTGCCTAAGCCAGTGGACAGCAAACTCATTAGTCAACAGAGCCAAATATCAACAGCACAACGATTGAAATTTCTTTTGAGAGCCACATTTTTTTTAAACTTCTTCTAATGCCACTTCTTCAACATAGACTCGCCCAGGCCGTGGTATTTTGTGGAAGAGCCACACTCAAGGGGCTAAAGAGCTGCATGTGGCTCGCGAGCCGAAGTTTTGCCAACCACGAGACCAAGGGTAAAAACACGATGTCAGGGGTTTATGCACCCAGACGCTCTCTGAACACCCCGGGCGTGCTGCCTGCTGGGCATTTTCACACCATGTCAGGAGGCCCCGTTCTACGTGTGTTTCCAGGAGAGGTTAGCCTGTAAAAGCATGACTGAAGGGGTCTAGTTGTTATTTGGGACATAAACATATGTTCTTCTCTAACGGGAGCAGTCTTACATTCTCAACAGTTGTCTTTACAGAACAATGTATTTGCTTCCGAGGTGAGATTCTTATCAGAAATTCTGCTGTGCTGTGCTACACACCCTGAGTGTGAGGCTCTTTTTGAAAGCGATCTGCCTCTATCTTGTCCTGATAAGCCTGCTGGATAGGATTGCCACATCTCTCCTCCCTTCTCTGCCTGTCCACAGACCTCACACACACCCCACCCCCGGCCACTGCGGGCCCCCCCGCAGCATGCCATTGCTAACGTATCTTGTCTCAATAAATAAGCATTTTTTTAAACATTTTCAGAATGTTAGGGTGCATTTATTTTTACGCTGTTTTGAAATACATGGGAATTTATAGATACATTTGTATATATGCCACGATATAAGCGTATCGCAGCATTGCTTAGCTGAAGGTTGAAGGTTGACACATAGATGTCCATCTATGGGGGTCTGGTTGAATATATTCTTCTTCTTCCATTAACGTTAACTGCTTTTGTTGCAAGATCACGTTAGCATACACTTCAGTGAGTACTCACTATATGCTGAGGCCAGGATTAATTATGGGAAGCACAACTGTACACCATGACAAAGCAGCAGATGATGCCAGAGCCTGTGTAAAATCTTATTACGGGAAACACAAGTACTAATTTTGAGAAACACGGATGTATAACCCTGATGTAGCTACTTGTAATAGTATCCTGTCCATATCTATCTATATAAAAGCCTAATATGCAAAGTGTCCCCTCGGGAGTTTGACCGATCGGCAGTTTGATCACTCGCTATGACGTGTGCTGTCCATCAGGGGTGGCATGGACTGAAGGGAGGCCCCAGCCGGACGTCAGCAGCCTCTAGGGACCCTATCTGAGCACAGATTTTGTGTACTTGGCCTCTAATTGTAGAATAGTTAGCAGCCACAAATGAAAATGAGGAATTTCTTTACATGCTGATGTGAGGTCTCCCCAGTATAGTATTCTGTGAAAAAAGGGAGATGCAGGACATGTGGATCACTTTATGCTTCTATTTGGATTTTTTAATGTTTTTATTATTTTTTAAAAATATATTTTATTGACTTTTTACAGAGTGGAAGGGAGAAGGATAGAGAGCTAGAAATATTGATGAGATATAAACATTAATTAGCTGCCTCCTGCACATCCCCTACCAAGGATATGCCCACAACCAAGGTACATGCCCTTGACTGGTATCGAACCTGGGACTTTTCAGTCCTCAGGCAGATGCTCTATCTACTGAGCCGGTTTTGGCTCCATTTGTATTTTTTAAAAGGGAAAAAAAAATTTCCCTTTGTATGTATTTGCAGGCCAGCATAGAATGCCTTCGGAGGTGTAAACAAGAAACTATGCTGCATGCCTTTGGGAAGAGGAGTTGGGCTGCTAGGGGACAGAATAGGAAAGAGACCTCACTGTCTAACTTGCTGCACTTTAAAAAGTTTACTTCGTGTGAAGGAATTGCCGATTCAAAAATATTGTTGTGATCATTAAAATGAAGTACTATGGCTGAATGGAAGGAAAAGCAGTTTGTTACAAATTCATATTCTCACCTGTTTTTAATAAAGCTGACTCAGAGTTTCTATTTTTCCGTAAGCTGTTTCATTTTGAGCCAGAGTTCTTTCTTGGCAGAAGTTTTCAAAGGCAAGGATTTCACTTGTGCACACATATGTATGAGTGCACACACACACACACACACACACACACACACAGTCTCTCTCTGTCGCTCTGTACCTAGAGAGTCAGTGTTTTAGATTTCTGGTCCCGTTGAGCTTACAGCCAGACCTCGGTCACGGTTTGCTTTAGTGGCTGTGACAATGCCGGGTTGGACCACTTACAGATCACTGTCCGCAGCACGAGGCTGCCCTCTCTATCGTGTGCAAAGAAGGCGACATGAACCTGAGTTTCCTTCCAGAACCGCACACCCCATGAGAGTTTGAACCTATCCTCAGACCCAGTCAGACAAACGTTTGTCCCGCCACCCCGCCACCAGGGTTCTCCTTTCGTGGGTTGAGGAAACAAATCATGCAACTGTCCTCTCATACTGTCCTGGCCTCTCTCCCCCTCAGGGCAGGGTGCCCTTCGCCGTGCCCGACAAAGTGCTGTGGCCGCAGCTGTGCGAGGCGCTCAACATGAAGTTCAAGGCCGAGGTGCAGAGCAACCGGGGCCTGACCAAGGAGAACCTCGTGTTCCTGGCGCAGAAGCTGTTCAACGGCAGCAGCAGCCACCTGGAGGACTACAACAGCATGTCCGTGTCCTGGTCCCAGTTCAACAGGGTGAGGGCCCGCCACCCGCCGGCCGCCCCGAGATCAGTCCCTCCCAACCGGAAACCTCCCTTCCTGGGCCCTCGGGCTTCCTGTCTGATACAATGCACCTGAAATGATGGGAAGCTCCTGAATGGACAGACAACGACATACTTTTCATGCAGAAAATGACGTCTTCGAATTTTAAGTAAACCGGGCTTTGTGTGTAGCTAGTGCGTTTTATAAGGGAAGCAGAGCCGAGGAAGCATTCTCGGAACTCGGGAGAAGTGCAGCTTGGGCGATGATCAGAACGCCACGGCTGTCCCGTTGACTCCGATGTGCCCTGATGTGAGATGCAAAGCCAGGCTCCCGTGGACCCAGCCCACCCACGTGGATGCTGATGGGGGACACGTTTCCTCTAGCATCTGCTCATTCGGATGTCATCCCTGTCACATCTTCGATTGGAAATTTAACTTTCGTTTTCCTTTCGACACCATCACCCCCCACCTCCACCCCGGTGTTTTAAGCACCCTCGTGCCGAGATCTCGCAGTCTCTGAGTGTACATGTTTTAAGTGGTTGTGTGTGAAGCAGTTGGCCAACGTGTTGGCTGGCGGTCAAAGGTGTTTTGATAGGGGAAGCAGGAATTTCGCTGGAATCCAAGAACTGCATGTTGCTGTGGGATGGAGCCATCTCTGTGGCCTTGGGATCTAACCCAGTTCCAATGTGCAAGCCCCCTGGGCATCTTGCTAAGATGCCGGCTCTGATTCAGAGAGTTTGGGATAAAGCCTTAAATATTGCGTTTCTTAGAAGCTCTTGGTCCCAGAGTCCACATCACAGACAGCAGAGGCCCAGGCAGCCAGGTAGAAGTGTTCGCAGTGGGGGCTGTTTTGCCCCGTTTGCTTCTTTCCTCCCGTATCCTGTTTTGTTGTTGTTGTTGTTGGACCATTCATTTGGGGAAATTCAGGCAGGCCTTCCTATTTGTATGGTTCTGACAGTGTAGGTGTCTGTTTTCCACTTGGTTTCTCCAGTGAATGTAGACACAGGCACTATCCGGAGTCTTCCCTCTGCCTTCTTGCGTTCATCGTTGTGTCTCCCATCAGGAGAACTTACCAGGACGGAATTACACTTTCTGGCAGTGGTTTGATGGTGTGATGGAGGTGTTGAAAAAGCATCTCAAGCCTCATTGGAACGATGGGTGAGCATCGTCCTTCCTTGCGTCTGCCATAAAGTGAGAATGGACCCAGCTCTACGGTTAAAAAAATAAAATAAAATAAAGTAACTCACACTCTGCTTCCGCTCCTTTGACCTCTGTGATCCAGGGCCATTCTGGGTTTCGTGAACAAGCAACAGGCCCACGATCTGCTCATTAACAAGCCCGATGGGACCTTCCTGTTGAGATTCAGCGACTCTGAAATTGGCGGGATCACCATCGCGTGGAAGTTTGATTCTCGTGAGTGCCCCTCCCTTTTTAAGAGCAGAGGCCAGAGGGCTCCGGTGAGCTGCTTTTGTTTCGAGGTCACGTTAGCATGCACTTTCCGTGTGCTTTGCTGGGGCCGGCACTGATTGTGGGAAGCACACATGCACACCCAGCACACAGCGGCCGGTGATACCAGAGCCTGTGTACCATCTTATCATGGGAAACACAAGTCCTCATTTTGAGGAACGCAGATGGATAACCCTGATGGAGCTGCTCGCCACAGTGTCCTGGGCACACTCCCCGCTGCTTCCCTTTTGAGATGTCCACCTTCTCACGACTCAACCTTGAGCGTGGTTCAGTGGAAACTTACTGGAATAAGTTGGAGCCGTTCACATAGAAATAAAGTTACCTTCGTGATTCCTGTATTCTCACGGACCCGAGGACATTGTCCCTGCTCATTTTCACCCAAGAACGCTAGTGCTTCCCTCTGACCCTCCCACATAAGGCGCCAGCAGCTTCCGCGTTCGCCTTGTGTGGCTTGAAGACTTCAGTGGCATTGAGTAGCGCTCACGTGTCCTCTGGCCACGGACCTGCTTCCTAGCTTTCTTACACGCTTTTGTACAGGGTATCAGGGAGTCAAGAAGTGTCTTCTGGAAAGGGACAGAGTGACATTTAACTTGGAGCCACCTAGGGAGATCATTGGATCTCTAGGAAAGGGGTGAAGGCATCACCAGCTAGCTCCCCGTGGCTTTTAAAAACAGCCACTCCAGCCGAAACTGATTTGGCTCAGTGGTAGAGCGTTGGTCTGCGGACTGAAAGGTCCCAGGTTCAATTCCGGTCAAGGGCATGTACATTGGTTGCAGGCACATCCCCGGTGGGGGGTGTGCAGGAGGCAGCTGGTTGATGTTTCTCTCTCATCGACGTTTCTGGCTCTCTATCTCTCTCCCTTCCTCTCTGTAAAAAATCAATAAAATATATTAAAAAACAAAACAAAACAACAACAACAAAAAAAACCAGCCACTCCAACCCTGGCTCAGTTGGTCGAGTGCCATCCTTGGGTATGGGAGGCAAGCCATCAGATGTTTCTCTTTCACATTAATGTTTCTCCCTCCCTCCCTCTCGCCTGTCCCGTTCCTCTCCCTCTCTCTTCCTTTCTCTCTCTCTTCCTCTCCCTCTCTCTCTCTCTCTCCCCCTTTCCCTTCCTCTGTCTCTTAAAATTTTGTTTTAAAAAATCAATAAAACATTTAAAAATTAATTTTTTAAAACAGATTTGATCTATAATCTGTCGTTATTTTTAAATGGAGATTTTTTTTGGAGGGGGTACAATTTTAATTTGTAGAATATGTGGGTATTAAGATTTCTTATTCAGAAACTATGTTTAGAACATCACTATTCTCTTTATTGATCTAGAGGAAAGAATGTTTTGGAATCTGATGCCTTTTACCACCAGAGACTTCTCCATCCGGTCCCTGGCCGACCGCCTGGGGGACCTGGATTACCTTATCTACGTGTTCCCCGACCGGCCGAAAGACGAAGTGTACTCCAAATACTACACACCAGTCCCCTGCGAGCCTGCCACTGGTAACAATGTTCGCATTCTGACTTGGTTTTGTTGTGCTTTGGTTATTTGTGTGTGTGTGTGTGTGTGTGTGTGTGTGTCTGTCTTGCATGGAAATCTACGCAGTTAGCCTGCAGTTACTTAAGCATTTTCCAGGGCAGATGTAAATCCTGGGCTGTATTCTGCAGTCACACAGAAAGCACGCCTGCCGCTAACCCCAGGTGCCAAATTGAAGGGAACAACTTGCTTTTAACACAAGCTTAAGTCAAACAAAATTAGGAAGGCAAAATTTTGTTTCTCACATCAGAGATGGCTTTGTTTCCTGAGCCTAAAAGTGTTATGCATTTATTATAAAATGTCCAGAAAAGTATAGAAAAAAAGAAAAAAAGAATTCGTTCATCCTCCTGCCAGTCATAAAACCTGTTCCTCAGTTTCAGGTGTGGCTCTGATTGGCATAAAAATGACATCTCAGGTTTTATTTTCATTTATTTGACTCCAGGTAAGGTCAAAGCACCTTTTCATATAATGATAATGGCAGCAATACTAAGTACAATTCTAGTAATGGCTGGCATTTGTTAAATGCTTATTGAGTACCAGGTCCACTTTTGGGCACTTTTATTTTATTTTATTGATTTTTCACAGAGAGGAAAGGAGAGAGAGAGAGAGCTAGAAACGTCAATGAGAGAAACATCAACCAGCTGCCTCTAGCACACCCCCTACTGGGGATGTGCCCGCAACCAAGGTACATGCCCTTGACCGGAATCGAACCTGGGACCTTTCAGTCCGCAGACCGATGCTCTATCCATTGAGCCAAACAGGTTCGGCTTGGGCACGTTTTGATGGAGCATCTCATTTAGTCCTCAGAAGGGGTCTGTGAAGCAGTTACTGTCTCCCTTTCACCTCTGAGGAACGGAGGCCCCGAGAAGTCAGTGATTTGGCAGAGGCCACACAGCTAGGAAGAGGCCGCGCGGGATCGGAGCTCAGGGAGCCTAGCGCCAGAGCCTGTGTTTCTTAACGTCTACACGTTGGCCGTTTGTATTTTTTCCTGTGAAGTGCGTTCATGTTCCTCGCTTATCTTTCTTTTGGAGTCCCTTTTTCCTTGATGATGTGTAAACAGTTTTCTTAGTAGATAAACCCTGGGTTATACATAGCCGTTATCCTGACGTTTGTATACCTTCCTCGTGAAAACCTCCCGTGACAAGGAGACCAGCTCTTCCCAAGACTTTCCCATTTCTTTGGGGCCGTCCCATGTGTGACAACATGCTTCTGTATCTGACGGAGACTGGCCCCTCCTCTGACCTCCTCCTGCTGGTCCTAAAGGATTTTCCCTTTCCCCGTTAGTAGGCAGTTAGTGCTGGGTTTCGGCCTGTGTGGAAGCCTGTGCTTTCTGTGGTCTGAAGTCGGCGTAAGCACATGGGAGCCACCTTGGGAGATCTCTCCACGGGCAGTATTAGGACCGAGGCTTCCCTGTGCCAGGCCGTCCTGCCAGACTGAAGTGTTAGGTGCTGGTGTCAGATCCTAAGCTAAATCAGGTGGCTGTGCTGCCCTATCCTAAGAAAAGATGTGATTCATAAGGGAGATTTCACTTGAGAACTTTGGTTTTCATCCCCGTTCCCCTCTCGGCAGCTAAAGCGGTGGACGGGTACGTGAAGCCACAGATCAAGCAAGTGGTCCCTGAGTAAGTGCCCGGGGCCCAGCTCTGGTCTCCCGCTGCCTCTGTTCCCTCCCCGCCACCCCCTCCCCGCTGTCCTCACCCCTCCCCGCCACCCCTCCCGTCCAAGGGCTTAGCGTTCCCTTCCCCCTAACACCCGGCTCAGCCCTGGGGAGGGAACCGGCCTTGGTCTCGCCATGGGCCAGTGCCCAGGGCACCCCCCTCCCCATGCCAGCGGCCTCAGAGGCTCTGCTCTGCTTCCTCCTCCAGGTTTGTGACATCTGCGGACTCTGCCGGAGGCAGTGCCACCTACATGGACCAGGCCCCCTCCCCGGCTGTGGGTCCCCAGGCTCCTTATAACATGTACCCACAGAAGTAGGTTGTGTTCTCACAGGGCTTCACCGTGGGGGCGAGGGGAGGAGGGGAGGGACTGGGCACTTGGCCTAGGGCTGTTCCCTGGCCCGGGTGAGGGCCTGGGGTGGTCTCTGCTCCTCATCGTGGGTCTCTAACAGCCGCCCCCTCCCCCTTCCTCTCTTCTCCTTCCCTCCCAAGCCCCGACCCCGTCCTGGACCCCGACGGGGACTTCGACCTGGACGACACGATGGACGTGGCGCGCCGCGTGGAGGAGCTGCTGGGCCGGCCCATGGACACGCAGTGGCTCCCCCACGCGCAGTCCTGACCTCCCCAGCGCCGCCGCCCGCGCCCGCGCCCGCGCCTCCTCCGTCCTCGCCAGAGGCGTCGCTCTTGTGGATGTTTTAATTCCATGAATCGCTTCTCAATACTCATAATGTGAAGTGTTAATAGTAGTGTGACGTTAGTGTTCCTGTGCACGGTGGCACCAGTGAAGGGCGAGCGTGTGTGTGTGTGTGTGTGTGTGTGTGTGTGAGCGAGCTTGTCCGTGGTGTGTTTCTCCCCTGCTGTCCGGAGCCCAGCGGCGGCACCGGGGCCGCAGACAGAGGCTGTGGCTGCCTGAACCTTGTGCACAGAGGCCACGTGCCCGGAGGGTGGACTTCGGCCGTGGCCTGTGAGTGAGGGAAGGACGTGGGGAGGAGAAAGGCCTCCGCCTCGGCGAGTCTGTCACCGTGTCTGCCACGCCGCCGTGCTGTAACCATGACCTTCTCTGCTTTTCTTCTGCAACGTGGAAACCGCCTCTCGACGAAGACCCCGCCCCCCGCCCCTGTGCCTCCCCCCGCGTTCCCGGGCAGGGATGGGAAAGGGGCGCCTCAGGAGGACTGTGGACGCGAGGGGAGCCGGAGGGCTTCGGATGGGAAGAGGCTTTTATAAATAACGTCTTCATGTTTTCCCCGCCCCTCCTCCCCGCCCCTCACTCCGCCCCTCTGTGTGCACACGCGCGCGCGCGCGGAGGAGCTGGAGAGAAGAAGGGAGAGTCCTGTCCCCGAAGCCCGCCGCGTTGGTGTCCTTTGTGTCTCGGCCAGAGTAGAACGCCTCGTCGTCGCCCCGAGAAGCCACTGTCCCACCTGCCCGTCCCCCCTCCGCGCCGGAAGGCTGATGGATGCCAGCTTTTTTGCAGACGTCGGATGGTGTTTTTGTTTCTCACTTGGGACTTCTTGTTTTCCCCCTCCGCCCCCTCGTCTGGCATCGGAAATTTCTTTGTTTCCTTTGTCGGGTCCTGTGCCATTCCCACCCAGGTCACCTCATTCCCCTTCGCTGTTCATGTGCACGCGAGGTCTCGGGGAGGGGGCGGCATGTCCGGCAGGCGTTGTTGCCCACCTGGGGCGGGGTGCTGGGCGTCAGGCGTTGGGAAGGTGGGTGTGCTGGAAGTTTGGTAAGCTGCAGAAAAAAAGCCTCAAGCATCACTTCGTCCACACTTTCTTCCTCGGCTCCCTGCCCGGCGGAAGGAATGGGGTGTGGCAGGCAGGTGGGAAGAGGGGGGAGCGGGTATCGTGTTCAGGTTAGGCCGACGAGGTCACTCCTAGCTAGCCCCCTCTCCAAAAAGGACGTGACTAGGCCCAGGAGAGAATGGCCCTAAAAACCTTATTTTTATATGTGTGAGTAAATCTATTTTTTTTACAAAAAAATAAAATAAACTTCTGAACTTACCAGTGTTTTGATGTTAAAGGAAAATATTTCTCTGTTGTAAATTATTTATTGGGAGTTGACTTTCTAAAAGCTGCTGTTTGCCCCGGCTTGGTTTCGTACACTGATTTATTTTTCTATGCCAGGAAGTAGACTCTCCCTGCCTCCGGGGAGCAGGCCGAGCCCTCCGTGGAGGCCAGCATTGGTGCAGGATGCTGCTAAGCCCCTTGCGTGCCCCTCAGGATTCAATTAAAACCCCGCCTGTGAGGAAGGGCGTGTTGGGGAGAGGCGAAAGGACGTAAGAGAGCCCTCACCTGCCTGTCACTCAGGCGTCACCAACACCTGCCTCCTTGTCCCAGTTGGGGGCCGGGGGCCGGGGCGGGGATTGACCCATTGGGAAGTGGACCCAGCCCTGTGCCTGCTGAGGTCCAGCTCCCGCTTTGCAGCTGGCAGTAGGGTTGTGGGGACCGGGGCCTGGTGTGGGGTTCCTGCCCATGCTTGTACAGTGGCTGAACTGTGTCCTCGATTTTCCTGAGAACTGTGCCTGTCGGTGGGAGAGATGTTTGGCGGAAAGGTGCGCTCGCTGTCTGCATTGTACTTTCTCTCTCCTCCCCGTCCCTGCAGATCGGGGGAGGCCGGGGGAGCCTGGACCGCCTCCGCCTCCGCCTCCACCTCCCGCTCGCTCCCAGGCACACAGTCACCCGCCTCCCCGCTCCCCGTGTGCGGCCTGCAGGGTTCGGTGGGGGTGGCGGGGAGACAGAGTGGATATAACTTAAGATGGAAGTATACTTTTTATAACTTTCCTTTTTAAAACTTTGTGAAATTATTTCAGATACATATTTTAGTGTGGAGGCCCATTAGCATATAGGCAGCAAAAAAAAAAAAAAGCGCATGGTGTACAATTCTACTTGGGCCAATCACAGAATAGTGTATTTTATGTTACAATAAAGCCTTGCTCTGAAGGGGCCGTGTTGAGTCCTGTTTTGTTTCTCCAATCCGAGGACGAGGGAGGGTGGTCTGAAGGGGGACGCTGGCCGTCCTGTGTGACTGAAAGGGTTTGGGAGTTGGCTCCTCTGAGAGCAGGCCGCCAGGTCTGATGGCGGATGGGGGCATTTATTTTTATTTCACTTTTTTTCTTTAATCCTCACCCAAAGGTATTTTCCCATTGATTGTAGAGAGAGTTTAAGAGAGAGGGAAAGAGAAAGAGAAACATTGATGTGAGATAAACACACCGATGGGTTGCCGCCTGCACGCACTCTGACCAGGCGCCCGGGCTGGGGAGAAGCCTGCAACAGAGGTGCGTGCCCTTGACCAGAATCGAACCTGGGATCCTTCGGTCTGCAGGCCGACGCTCTATCCCCTGAGCCAAACCGGCCGGAGCCGATGCGGGCATTTCTTACCTTCCTGCTCACGTGATGTTTTGAAAATTGCCCCTGTGCCACCTGAAAGGAATGTTCTTGCGTGGAGAAATGGTTTGGTGCTTTGGAATATTCAGCTCTTACCAAGCCCGTGCCCCTTGGCTGAGAGCCACCGGTGTCCCCGAAGGCTGCGTATTTCCAGCTCTCGTCCCTCTGTGGTGTGGAGACCCAGCGTCCGGATGCTGCCCGAGAGAGACAGCTGCTGCCCGTCAGTTCTCTTAATAAGCGCTTCGCTTAATTCTCTGTCCTTCTCTCTTCTCGGTCTCAGCCCTGTCCTCCTGGAGAAGTCAGTTTGGGTACGCCCCAGGAAATTTTCCCACACAAAGGACACTATCAAGAAAATACAAAGACAACCCACAGGAGAAGACACTTGCGGATCATAGGGTACTAGTTTGTGAAATACATAAAGAGCTCTTATCACCTAATAGTGAAAAGCCAACCCAGTTAAAATGGGCAAGGGATCTGAAAAGACATGTCTGCAAAGGAGACTCACAGGTGGCCACTAAGCACATAAAATAGGCTCAGCGTCATTAGTCATCAGGAAAATTAAAATTAAAATAGACTCACGTCACTTCGTACCCCACTAGAATGGCCAGGTCAAAAGGCCAGGTAATAAGTTAGCAAAGATGTAGGGAAATCGGGACCCTCATGGACTAGTGGTGGGGATGTAATATGATGCGGACACTTGGGAAGCCAATTTAGCCGTTCCTTAAACATTAAAAAAAAAAAAAAAAAAAAAAAAAAAAAAAAACTATCTGTCCACAGAAAAGCATGTACACTGCCCTGGCCAGTTTGGCTTAGTGCACATGTGTCAAACACAAGGCCCGCGGGCCAAATCCGTCCCGCCAGGCCTTGCAATGTGGCCCGCACTGCGCTGTCATCACTGCACTCCGCTGCGTTTCCATCACAATGACAGTTTATGACTGTTCAGTAAACCATTCGGCCCGCGATTTAGGCTGGATTTTAGATTTTGGCCCCTTATCTGATTGAGTTCGACACCCCTAGCTTAGTGGATGGAGCATCGGCCTGTGACTGAAGGGTTCCCCAGGTTCGATTCCGGTCAAGGGCACATGCCCGGGGTGCGGCCTTGATCCCCGGTGTGGGGCATGCAGGAGGCAGCCCATCGATGATTCTCTCTCATCATTGATGTTTCTCTCTTTCTCTCCCTGCTTCTCTGAAATCAATAAAGATATATATATATTTTTAAAACACGCACGGAAATGTTCATTCTACATAACAGCCAAAGAGCGGAAATGAACCAAACGCCCATCCATCGGTGGAGGGGTAAGCAAACCTGATGGTGTTCACACAGCACATTTGGAGGGTGTCCGCTCCAATGGGAGACGATGTGGCAATACGGATAAATGAGCTGGTGGTCCACAGCCACACAGGGAAGAACCTCGTAAACATGATGCTAAGTGAAGGAAGCCAGATGCAAAAGACCATGTGTCGTGTGATTCCACTGACGTGGAACGTCCAGAACAGGCGCACCTACACAGAAAGCAGGCTTGTGTTTGCTTAGGGCCGTGGTGGAGGAAGCTGGGGAGGGCCTGAGGGGTATCGCTCGAGGGTACAGGATTACTCTTGAGGTTACAGAAATAGTTGGTGTCACACGGATCTTCGAATATACTAAAAACCATTCCATTGTACGCGTTCAGTGGGTGGCTTGCGTGAGTGACATGTAATAACGCTGTTGGGTTTTAAAAAGCAAGCGCAATAGCTCAGCAAGAAATAAAGGAGTGAACACAGGGGACGGGGGTAGACTGAGAGCAGGAGACTGTGCACAGGAGCCGTGAAGAGCAGGGAGAGATGGTGCGAGGCTTAGAGCCAGGGGAGGGGCCGAGGGGAGGGTGTCCACCAGCCTGGTCCAGAGCACAGTGGAGGGAGAGGGGTGAGCCATGGGCCGAAGAAGAGCCCCACACAGCTCCGCGGGCTCCACTGCAGGAGGGTCTCCGTGTCCTCCGGAAGCATGTGTTTCCTTGGGATGAAACCGGGAAGCGAACGCAGGTTGTGACCCCCAAATCGGAGGAAGCGGGGCCGTCGGGTTCTCTGGCTGGAGGACTAGCTGTCACTTCTCTGGAGAACACTGTGTGGTGGGTTCTCTCTGCTTGGCGACGGACAGGGGTGAGATTCTTTCCTGCCTTTGCAGTCTCTCAGCCTGGGGTGCCCATCACCTTCCAACGGAATGTTTCTTCAATAAAAGTGTCTTTCGCCGAAACCGGTTTGGCTCAGTGGATAGAGCATCCGCCTGTGGACTGAAGGGTCCTGGGTTCAATCCCGGTCAAGGGCATGTATCTGGGTTGTGGGCTCATCCCCAGTAGGGGGTGTGTAAGAGGCAGCTGATTGATGATTCTCTCTCATCGATGTTTCTAACTCTATCCCTCTCCTTTCCTCTCTGTAAAAAAATCAATTATATATATATATATATATATATACACACACACACACACACACACACATATATATACACATATATATACATATATATATATATTATTATTATTATTATTATTATTATTATTATTTTAAGTGTCTTTCTTTCTCTCCTATCTTGGTGGGGTAGCTTTCTGGGTTGGGAGGAAACGTTGCTTTTTAACAGTTCTCAAGCTCGAATCTGCTCCAGGACTGGTGTGCCCCACCCCCAGCCGATGCTGCTTCCTGGCGCTCTTTCCCACACAGTCAACTTTCTCTTCCTTCGCCTGCATGAATTTGAGCCCTCGCTTCCCATGCCTGCCAGCACGGGCCAGCACCCAGCACGCCCCCCCTGGGGAACCTGCTCCTTTAAGAGCACCCCTTCCCCCACCCCAGCTCCTCCCTCAGGCCCAGTGACCGGATTTCCCTGTTGTGAGGCCCAGCGCTTTAAACCATGGCCCTTTCTGGGTCAGCTGTCTGCTGAGCTGGGCGTGCTGAGGGGCCCTGGGTGCTGGGAGTAGGGTGTGACAGGTACATGTGGGACACGAACCACTGCCCAGGGCTCAGGAGGGACGCGGAGCTGGGACAGGGTGTGACCTGGGGGGGGGGGGGGAGCAGAGCCACTCCTTCGTCAAGCAGCCGCTGGGCGCTGGGCACCGTGCCAAGCCCTCTCTGCACCTTCTGAGGCAGGGCTTGTGTTCCCATTGGACAGACAGGGGGACGGAGCTCAGAGCAGCCCCCTGAACCGAGTGGAACCAGACAGGTAGCCAGTGGCAGAGCCAGGATCCGAACTCAGGTCAGTGCGACGCTAAAGCCTGATGCTGTCCTCCTCGCTGCCTGACGGGGGATCCTGGCTTCCTCCTACACCTGCTCTGTCCTGGTTCTCCTGCGGGAGGCAGAAGGGGGGTAAGAAACGAACGGGGGATCCCCTGCAGCCGCAGCACCAGCTCTCCCGGGCCCTTCCTCCCCCAGGAGCTGCCTGGAGATGCTCCTGCTCCTGCTGCCGCTGCTCCTGCTGCTGCTGCTGCCCCTGGCCGTGCTCTGGCGCCAGCGGGCCCCGGGGCCCGGGCCGTCCTGGCTGGCCAGCCTGCAGCACCGGGTGGCCTGCGGGGCCCTGTGCTGGGCAGCCGCCTGGCAGCAGTGGAGGCTGGAGCAGAGCACCCTGCACGCGGGCCCGCGCCAGCAGCAGGCCCTGAGCCGGTGCCTGAAGCGAGCCCGGGGTCCCCCCTCTCCTCTCAGGGGGAGCACAGGTGTGTTTCCCAGGGTCCGAGGCGGTGGCCCAATGAGGAGGAAACCCCACAGAACAGTCAGATTCCAGAACCTGAACACCTCCCTCCCCCGCTCCCCCGTTCCTGCTCCCAACACAGACAGGCTGACCCAGAGGCCCTCCCAGGACCCTCCGAGAGCGCTTCCCCCACCTGGGCCTGGTCCCAGTCCCCGCCCCAAGGGTCTCAGCGGCGGGTCCGAAACGCTTAGGAAAATTCGTGTGGCTTCATGGGCAGTTGATGATGTCTCTGCGGCTGCAGATATGACCACCTTCCGGAGTCACCTCCCTCTGACCGAGGCCAGCCAGGCCCCAGAAGAAGAAAGTGGGGAGCAGCTCCTGGCCCCTGCCTCCAAACGGCACCCTGGGGAGGCCTCTCTGCAGGTAAACGCAGACGGCTGGGGCCCGGCCCCACCGCGGACCCCGGTGCGCGGGCACACCCTCCCCTCCGGGTGGGCGGAGAAGGATCCCCAAACAGGCGTCTCGGGGTCTGGCTCCCGCTACGCCCTCTCTTGTCTCCCTCCAGGCCACCTTGCTGGGCCTGGCAGCCCTCAACCAGGCCTACCCAGCGGCGCTGGCCCCGGGAAGCAGGGCCTGTGTGACCCCCACATCCCCCTGGCCCCACCCTCTGCCCTGGCCGTGGTGCGCGCCCCGCCGGGCTGGGCCCCCGGGAGCCAAGGACCCCCGGGCCCTGCTGCTGGAGGCGCTGAGGTCCCTGGGGCTGCGGGCGCTGGAGGCCGGGACGGCGGCCGAACTCCTGGACGTTTTCTCGGGCCTGGAGGCCGATGGCGAGGAGCTGGCGGAGGCGATGGCTGCCGGGAAGCCAGGGGCACCTCTCCCCGCGCGGGCGGCGGAGCTGCGGGAAGCTCTGGAGCAGGGACCCCGGGGCCTGGCCCTGCGGCTCTGGCCGGAGCTGCAGGTGGTGGTGACTCTGGATGCGGGAGGCCAGGGCGAGGCCGTGGCTGCCCTGGAGGCCCTGTGGTGCCACGGGCTGGCCTTCTTCTCGCCGGCGTACGCCGCCTCCGGAGGTCAGCGGGACGCAAGGGCGGGGAGCTGGCTGCCATAGAGGGAGCCCTACATCACCTTCTCGGTGATCCCTCCAACACTCGCAGCTCCATTTTACAGATGGAGAAACTGAGGCTCGTAGAGGTTGCACAAATGCACACACAGCCCCAGCATTTACCCCCGGGTCTGCCACACCCAGACCCACTGCCTCCTCCCAATTAGGGCCACAGAAGCAGAGTGCCGAGCCCGGGGGAGCCACAAAGGAGGGGGGGGAGGGCAGCAGGAGGGTCAGCTGCTCGGAGGGTGGAGGCCCAGGGGGAAGGGCCCAGCCGAAAGCCACGGCACCACCAGACGAGGCCGCTTGCTCTCCGCAGGCGTGGTGGGCCTGAGCCTGTGGCCAGAGCAGCCTGCTGGGCACTACCTCCTCCCGCCGGGAGCTCCCGTGATCGAGCTGCTCCCAGTCCCGGCGGGAGGCCAGGAGGAGGCTGCCACCACCGTCCTGCTGGCCGAGGCCCAGAAGGGCCAGGAATACGAGCTGGTGGTGACGGACCAGGCCAGCCTTACCAGGTGATCATCTGCACCCCACCCCCCGCCCCTGGTGCCTCGGGCCCTCTGGGACCTGCTGGGGGCCAGGGGCATGAGCCGATGGGTCCTTGGGCCTGACCTCCCCTCCCTCCACCCTGCCAGATGCCGCCTGGGTGACGTGGTTCGGGTAGCTGGTGCCTACAATCAGTGCCCCGTCGTCAGGTTCATCTGCAGGTGGGTGACGTCCTGGGGAGCCGAGGGGCCGTCCTTCAACCCTGGGCCCCTCCTCTGCCTCCCGCTCCTTCCTTCCTCCCCAGGCGGGGCCAGGCCCTGAGCGTGCGCGGGGAGGACATCGGCGAGGACGTGTTCTCGGAGGCCCTGGGCCGGGCGGTGGGGCAGTGGCCAGGGGCCAAGCTGTTGGACCATGTCTGTGTGGAGAGCAGCATTCTGGGTAAGCGTCTCCGTGGGCTCCTGACCCCCCATTCTTGGGTCAGCTCCCCCACAACCCACGCCCCTCCTGCTGACAGCGCTCGGGGAAGGAGGTACGACCCAGCCTCCTTGGTTGCTCCTTCCCCCCCAGGTCTCACTCCCATCCCTCCGGCGGCAGCCACTCCCTGGTCACTTTCCTGACTGGTTTCATACTTAGAACGAGGCTGTGGGTTCCTCTTCCTTTATTCCCCCCCTTCACACACACACTTACACACACACACACACCAAGAAACCCCTGTCTTCCCACACCCTCAGAGCAGGGAAGAACGGGGTGGGGCGGTGGGCACTGGTTTTGGAAGCGGCCCCGTTCCCAGGAGGGCGTGTGTGTGGGGTTTGCCTGCAGATTCCTCCGGGGGCTCCGCTGCTCCACACTATGAGGTGTTTGTGGCCCTGAGGGGGCTGAGGAACCTGTCGGAGGAAAATCGAGACAAGGTAAGTGAGACGGGGACCGGGCCTGCCTGCACGTCCCCTTCCCTCTGCCCCTCCTTCCCCCCCTCCACGCCCCGGCCAGGTGCAGTGGGCACAGCGGAGTGATGGGGAGGTGGGGGCAGGGAGGAGGACCTCCCCGAGGCTCCAAGAAGGGAGGGGTGAGTCCCAGACACACGCTGGGCACCGTCCAGCGCACCCCATCCACGAGCCCCGTGGCCCCGCGGCAGCCTCACGCCGCCTCTCTGTCCTCAGCTGGACCGCTGCCTCCAGGAGGCCTCTCCCGGCTACAAGGCCCTGCGCTTCCGGGGCAGCGTGGGCCCGGCCAGGGTGCACCTGGTGGGGCCGGGGGCCTTCGGAGCCCTCCGGGAGGCCCTCGCCGCCTCCCCCGCGGGCCCCTTCCCCCCGGAGATGCCCCGGGTGCTCCGGCACAGGCGCCTGGCCCGGCTTCTGCAGGGGAGAGTGCTGTGCTGAGCTGGGGCTGCCCGCTGGCCGGCCACCCCACAAGCGGCCTCTCTCTCTCCTCCGGGGCCTCTCTGGGCCAGGCTCTGTGACTCCGTGTCACCTCGCAGTGGCTCATCTGAGCTCCTGGGCCTGAGGGAGGTGCAGCCCCGCCAGCCAGCTCCCAGGAGGTGGCCTGAGGGGGGAGCCCCGTGGCCCCCTCTGGAGGACCCTGCTAGAGAGTTCCCACACAGGAGGGGGGGGTCGCCGTGTGTTGGGAGTTGGGGCTCCCAGAAGCAGCCCTCAGTCAGCAAGGAACAGGAGTGGTGAACCCCGACCTCAGCGTCACTGTCCCTCAGGGCGACCATTCTGAAGTGTGTCGCTGCCCGCAGGGGGAGCCCTCTAGTCAACACGGTTCTCCAGGCAACCCTCCCACCTCCGCCCCCCGAGGTGTTTTCTGCGATCACCCCCCAAATAAACCTCTTGCACCCAGATTCCTGGCTCAGGGTCTATGTGTGGGGAGACTGCAAACACTCCAGAGCCCCATGCAGAGCCAGACAGAGTCCCCTTGGCTCTGATCCCGCCACAGCCTGTCCCCTCCCTTCAGCTCTGATCACAGGGCTCCCCCTCTCTCTGCTGGGGAGGCCCCATGTGTGTGCATTCAGGAGACCTCGGGGACTCATGCCGTGACCTAGGTCAACCCAGGAGTCTCAGAGCCCCCTCCTCCCACCTCTCCCCATCCCAAGCTTCACCCAAATGTGAAGGGGCTACTCCCCAACTTCTCTGGCCCTGGCTCAGCAGGGGTCCCCTTCCTGGCCGGACACCCAGAGATCACTGCCACAGGCAGCAGCTCTGCTGCACATCATCACGGCAGGAGGCGACCGCAGGGACTCCTGGGTTCACCGCCCCTCTTCCTGGCGGGACACATGGAGGCTTCCTGAGCTTTCGAGACTTGCTCTGGGCCCAGAAGCTCCTCCTAAGCCGTGGTCAGCAAACTGCGGCTCTCGCGCCACATGCAGCTCTTTGGCCCCTTGAGTGTGGCTCTTCCACAAAACACCACAGCCTGGGTGAAGAAGTGGCGTTAGAAGTTTAAGTTTAAAAAATGTGGCTCTCAAAAGAAATTCCGATCGTTGTCCTGTGAGTATTTGGCTCTGTGGACTCATGAGTTTGCCGACCACCGGCCTGAGTAACGCAGCGCCTGTGTGTAAGGCTCCGCTTCTGTCCCCGAATGACTTCGGAACGCCATGCCCTACATGCAGGCCCCGATGCCCGCCCACCCAGTCCCTGTACCAGCCCGTGACTCCTTCCCATGAAAACCTCCACAGCGCCCCAGCGCCCACAGGGTCAAGGCCAATCAGCTGAGCCCGCAAGGCCCGTGGACCCATCCCCGGCCTTGCTCTCCTGTCCAGGCTCCGCTCTCCTCTGAGGACAGCCAGGGCCGCGAGGACCACACCACACTACCCCCCGTGCGTCAGGCCCTGCCCTCCGCTCTTTGCCTAAGTTGTCCCTCAGGAGAGAGCCTCTCCCGGGCCTCGCCTGGTAGAAATCCCCTTCTCGTGAGAGGCCTTTTCAGAGTCCTTTGCAGAGCTACCGTCCTGTGCCGGCCACACTCCCACCTGTGGGGCCCCGTGAAAACTGGGCCTGCCCCATGCACAGGTCCCTCCAGAGCCCCGGCAGGGCCTGACACAGGGCAGCTGCTCAGTGGACGGTGCCCTGGCCCTCGCTGGTTTGGCTCAGTGGTTAGAGCGTGGGCCTGCGGACGGAAGGGTCCAGGTTCGATTCCGGATAGGGGCACATGCCCGGGGTTTTGGGCTCAATCCCCAGTAGGGGGCGTGCAGGAGGCAGCCCGTCAATGAGTCTCTCTCATCATTGATGTTTCTATCTCTCCCTCTCCCTACCTCTCTGAAATCAATAAAGAAATATATATATTTAAAAAAAAAAAAAAACAATAGACAGTGTCCTGACAAGAGGGACTTCAGGGGGCTCACTCGCTGCTGATGGTGGGAGAGGACCCCGTCTCTGCCCTCCAGGAAGGAAGCTGGGGAGGTCGAAGGGTAACACCAGGCACTCTTTTCCCTGCTGCCCAGGTTTGATTTTCAAAGTTTTCCATCTGGGAGGTTAATGGAAAGGGCGGAGGGAATGGGCCTGGGGGAGGGAGAGCCAGCTCAAAGCCTTTTTCCCATGGGGGAGAAGGCCCTGGAGCCTGACAGACGCCCGGGAAGAGGGGAGGCATGCAGACGCGCACACACATATACCCCCAGGAGGATGGGTTTCCCGCCTGCCTCCTCTCCTGCCCTAATTAGCAGCCGCCTCTCCCCACATTGTCCCAGACCAGCGCCCGGCCCGGCCAAGGCCTCTTTTGTGCTCCCAGATGCCTGGGTGCAAGGTGGCCTCATTAGTGCCGGGAGACGGCCCCATCTCCAAGGAGCAGGCAGACAGGGGAGCGGGGGAGCCAGGGGCACCGTGATCCAACCCCAGCCTCGGCGTGTCCTGGCGGCCATTCCTGGGGCCCAGCCTGGAGACGGCCCCCTGTGCGAGGCTAATCTTAGATGTGCCTTTGTCTGGCCCCAGAGTGGACGCAAGTGCCCCCCCAACTCAGAGCGTTATAAACCCCAGGTCCCCGGGAGCAGGTCACCGTGCACCGACGGCCTTCCAGCTCCTCGCTGCCTGGACCCCTGGAGACGGCGCCTTCCCCTGCAGCTCCACTCTGAGCTCCGGACACCATGAGCCCTACAAAGGTACGGGCCTTCCAGGGGCGGGAAGAAAGGCTGGGAGAGTCTCCCCTCTTGTTCTCCTCCCATGCCGGCTCTGAGGCAGGCAGGGGGCTGGGTGGACCCTTAGCTGAGGACCTGTCTTGCGTGGTTAACGGTCAGTCGTGCCCAGCTCTCCTAAGAGCTCACGTTTAATGAGCACGTACTTCTCACCAGGTGCTGCTGGCACCTGTCCCCTCTTTTCCTCCTCCCGGCAGCCCTGCCCGGTAGGAATTATGTAACACCCAGTTCCCAAGGGAGGAGGCTGTGGCCCCTAAGAGGGTGGGAAACTGGGCCAAAGCCCAGTTCAGTGTCCCCATGCGAAGGAGCAGGCAAGCAAGACAACGATTTGGATCCTGCTGGTCCTTGATGTGCACTGGTTTGCCGCTGTGGTCAGGAGGGAGTTGGACTAAAAAGTGCACAAACTTCTGGTGCAGACAGACGCTCACACACGTGTTTTCAGGCGGAGTGGTAAGCACTCTGATGGGGTAACGACGAAGTAAGGATACTCAGAGGAGACAGGGATTCATTCTCCCATGACCGCTTCTCCCATCCCTCCCACAGCATAGCGAAGAGGCAGGAAAACCAAGGGGCGGCGAGGAGGGGGCACGCAGCACTCGGGGCAGGGCCGGGGTGCAGGGCTGGAGGGGTTCTCGCGGCGTTAGGAACCCCAGCGCCCCGTCTCCTCCTCCCTAGGTCCCCTGGACCGCCGTGACGCTGCTGCTGCTGCTGCTGCTGCCGCCCGCGCTGCTGTCGCCCGGCGCGGCCGCGCAGCCCCTGCCCGACTGCTGCCGCCAGAAGACGTGCTCCTGCCGCCTCTACGAGCTGCTGCACGGCGCGGGCAACCACGCGGCCGGCATCCTCACGCTGGGCAAGCGGCGGCCCGGCCCCCCGGGCCTGCAGGGCCGGCTGCAGCGCCTCCTGCAGGCCAACGGCAACCACGCGGCCGGCATCCTGACCATGGGCCGCCGCGCAGGCGCAGAGCCCACGCCGCGCCCTTGCCCGGGACGCCGCTGTCCCGCGGCGGCGGCCGCCTCCTCCTCCGTCGCTCCTGGGGGTCGGTCCGTGATCTGAGCCCGCGCTCAGCCTAGGTCCGGGCACTGCCCTCTCCCCTCTGCCCGCCCGCCCGCCCGCCCCCTCTCAGCCCCCAGAAAAGTGCGCAATAAAGAGGCGTCTCCGTTAACGCGGCCGGTCTCGGTTCCTGTGTGGTAGCGCCCTGCCCTCCAGGGGGCGTCAGAGTCTTGCGAACTGGAAAGAGCCCGAGGGCCTCCGGGACAGCCCCCTCCCCCGCTCACCCCAGCTTGGGCGGCCTTGGACCTGAAACACTTTGGGATGGGGAGCTCCCCAGGACAAGGCGCGGTGCAAGGCCGTGGGCGCGGGAAGAGTCGCAGATGTGCGTGCTTGGAGGGGAGGGTGCAAGGAACATCCAGAGGCTGCAGCGCGGGGTGGAGGGTGTGTGTGGGGAGAAGGGAGGCCCTGGAGGGGAAGCGGTCAGGTGGTGCAGCCCAGATTGCGAAGGCCGTCACGGGAGTCACTTTATCCTGTGGGTGGCTGGGAGTTTCGAGTTCCGATGCGGGGGTGGGGCAAGATTTTCCTGCAACTTTATTGGAACACACCTGTTATAGATTGACTTGTGAACCCCTCCCCAAATTCATATGTTGAAGTTCTAACGAGGCCCCAGCACTTCAGAATGTGAATCTTATTATGGGGGTCGTTGCAGATGAGGTTCTGTTGGAGTGGGTCTCCACTCCAAGGTGACTGACTGGGGTCCTTACAAAAAAGGAGGGTGGGATTTGGACACAGAAATGTACACAGAAAGAACCCGGGTGCACAGGAAGGCAGAGGTGGGTGGGGCATCTGTAAGGCAGAAAGAACCCGCGTGCACAGGAAGGCAGAGGTGGGTGGGGCATCTGTAAGCCAAAGATTGCCAGCAGCCCATCAGAAACTCGCAGCTTTCAAAAGGAACCAGTCCTCCATTATCTTGAGCTTGGATTCCTAGCCTCCAAAATTGTGAGAAAATAAATGCCTGTTGTTTAAGTGCCCTGTTTGTGGTACAGGGGTCCCAAGAGTAGAGACACAAAAAGATGTGGCGCTTCTAAGCAACTTAATCCTGGGTTCAGGCTCCGGGAGGAAGGGGTTGAGGAGGCAGGGAGACCACCTTTCCGTCTTCCCTGGCTTTAGCAGCGAAGCAGTCACCTAAGCCTCCATGCTCAGCTGCCCCGGTAACTGTCTGCTTCCGCGGTGAAAAAAGTCCCGTATCTGGTCTCACCTGGGTCCTTCTTGCTGCTGGTTAAGTCTTGAAAAAGATGGAGTTCAAAGTCCACCAGCTCACCTTTGGAGATTTGAAAACTGACTCTGTCCCCCTTGAAACTACCTTTCTCAGCCCCAAACTTGCTTCCAGCCTCTCCTGCACTTGAATGGCAGCAGAGAGGATGGTTTAAGTCAAGACGATAGGAAAAGGGAGAAAATTGCTCTCCAACACACTTATTTTGTGTCAACATATATGCATTAGGCTATTACTTTCACACAACCGCATGAGGTAAACATTATTAGCTCCATTTTACAGATAAGAAAAGTGAGGCTCAGAGAGGCCAAGTCACACCTTTAGTAAGTGGAGGAGCCAAGACTCTGCCCGATGGTCTCCAAAGCTCTTTTTCATCCGTCCTGCCGGGCTGGGAGGCAGCATTTGCCAGCGGGCCCTGCGCCAACGGAGGCGCAGCCTCGTTAGCCCCTGCTGCCTCGTGTTGGGGAGCGGGACCTGGGAGCACTGCCGAGCAGCCCTGCTCCAGCAGACAGCACTGCGGCCCCGCTACCTTTCCCGGCTGGGGCGGCGCCTGGGGAAGCCCGTGGGCGGAGCCGGCAACACGCGCGGGGGCGTGGCCACGGGAGGAGGCGTGTCTGCAGCTCCGGCTCCGAACCCTCGCGGCGCCTCTGCTCCCCGGAGGCGTGTCTCCAATTCCCTCCGAGAGAGACAGACTCGCGTGGGCCGCCCCGCTCCCGGAGGAGGGCCGCGGAGAGAGGTGCGGTGTCACCGGAGCCCCTCCCCGCGCGGGGCCCCGTGGCGGACGCGGCCGAGCCCCGGGGGGAAGAGCCTGGGCCCCGGGGAGAAGGGCCACCGAGGCGGCGCCCCGCCGAGCCGAAAGCCGACAGCTTCAGAGCAGAGGCTGTGGCGGCGGCGGCTGGAGGGAGGGCAGGAGGCAGGCCCGCGCATGGGGCGCCCCGGCCCCGCCGGCAGCGCGCCCCCCGGGGCCCGGCCGAGCTGACCGCTCCCGGCGCCGCCGCGCCTTGAACTCGCGCCCTGAGCCATGCCGGTCATGAAGGGGTTGCTGGCCCCGCAGAACACCTTCCTGGACACTATCGCCACCCGCTTCGACGGCACGCGTGAGTGGGGCGGAGGCTGGGGCTGGGGGCTCCTGCTTGGTCTTCTGGACCCGGGGCGAGAAGGGCGAGTGGGGCCGGGGGTCTGGGAGCTCCGGACGCCGCGGTGAAGGAGCGGGACTGAGGGGTGCGCTGCGGGGGGAAGCGGGGAGAGGACCCAGAGTGCGGGGACCCGGGGCAGGGGTTGTGGCTGGAGGCACGAAGGGCTGAGTGTATGGCGAAGCGGAGGGGAGGCCTGGGGAGCAGTCCCGGCCGGGGCAGAGCTCCGCTGGCGGGGGGCGCGTGTGGTGGCGCCCGAGACGCGAAGGCTGGAGAAGCGGTCAGTTCCAGCACCCCCTTCCCCCAGGAAAAAGAGAGGGAAGGAGAGAAAGAGAGAAGATCAGACTTAGGCAGGACCTAGTTTAGACTAAGGTCACGCACCCCCAAATCGTGACGTGTCTGCGTTTGAGGGAGGTGAGGCAGGAGGAGGGGGTGGTCCGGGCGAGGAAGGGAACTCCCTGCTCGCCCACCACCCCAGCTGGGTGTCCCGGTTCAGGACCTTGGACAGCCACACGCCTCCTTCCCCGCTCCTGCTCCCGCCTTTCCCTCTTCCTACTCTGCAGCCTAGAGGTTCCTGCCTGCCCCTCTGGGCACCTTTGCTACCCCTGGAAGATGTGGCGAGCGGTACCCAAGAGCGGAGACTGATCTGCGGGGGGCCCAGGCGGGGGAGACTCCCCGCCTCTCCACCCTTCCTCCACACACGCCTCCCTTGTTTCCATAGTGCCCATCACCCGGAGCAACGAGCTCTGGGAGGGAGAAGGAGGCTGCTGCCCTGGGCCCAGCACCCTCAGGGTCCCGGTCAGCCCAGCCCATGCCCAGGCACACACCCTTCCTAGCAACCCCGGGACTGGTCGTGTCTCAGGCGCCTTCCCTCGCTGAGACTCTGTCCCTGGGTGGCCCATACGGCCCCTCTGCAGCCTCCTGTCCATTGGAACCGGAGGGAGCCAGCTCAGGTCCTGCGGCTCTGGTTGCTGGAGCCCCAACTTCATTGCCCAATCCTGTCAGACGTTGAGCACCGGGGACAGGCCTGGGATTAGATAAGGGATGCTAAAAAGAGGGCCTTTCTCAGAAGGCAGGGGATGAGGACGCTAGTCATGGCTCTCCCTCCTCCCACGAAGGAGATCTGTGAGTGTAGGTAATCTCCGCCTTTTCGTTTCCTATCAATAAAACGGTGTCACATCACCAGAATCGCTGTCCTCTCCACTCTCCAATGGGGTGACCGGGTAGTGGCTATGGGTGTGCTTTGAAAGCTGTGGAGGAGTGGACACTGTGGCACAGGCTGTTGCCGAAGGTTTTCCTCTGGGAATTCACGTAACCCTCACAATAACCACGGGAGGAAGATATATTAGCCCACACTTTGCAGAAGGGGAAGCTGACACGCAGAGTTCATTAACGTGCCCAAGGTCAGGTGGGGTGGTGCAGCCCATTCCCTCGCTCACCACACTGTATGCCTCCCCACAGTGAGAGCGAACCCCCCTGAAGGCAGGGGGATGAGCTCTTGGGGTTCCTTCTCCAATCCCCTAGGCCAGTGGTCGGCAAACTCATTAGTCAACAGAGCCAAATACCAACAGTACAACGATTTAAATGTCTTTCGAGAGCCAGATTTCTTAAACTTAAACTTCTTCTAACGCCACTTCTTCAAAATGGACTCGCGCAGGCCGTGGTATTTTGTGGAAGAGCCACACTCAAGGGGCCCAAGAGACGCATGTGGCTCTCGAGCCCCAGTTTGCCGACCACGGCCCTAGCAGTTCCTTTCCAAGTACCAGGTCAACCTTAAGTCCTTGTCCTTTGTCTCTATCTCTTCTCACTCTTATTTCAAAAGATCCCAACGCAGGATCCAGGAATCGCGTGGAAGCCTGGGGCGCTGCTGGCCCTGACCACAGCGTGGGGGAGGTGCTGCCCCCTGGAAGCTGAGCTCCCCTCCTGCCCTTGGCCTGATCTTGACCTCTTCTCCCCACAGACAGTAACTTCCTTCTGGCCAACGCACAAAGCCCACGGGGCTTTCCCATCGTCTACTGCTCTGACGGCTTCTGCGAGCTCACGGGTTACGGCCGCACCGAGGTCATGCAGAAAACCTGCAGCTGCCGCTTCCTCTACGGTCCCGAGACCAGCGAGTCAGCCCTGCAGAGGCTCCACAAGGCCCTAGAGGGCCACGAGGAGCACCGGACTGAGATTTGCTTCTACCGGAAGGATGGTGAGGGGCCTGGCCTGGCCTGCAGCCCTGCCCAGACCCCAGGCTTTACCCAGAATCCACTTGGCCCAGTGAAAGCTTGGGTGCTGGTCCCCCCCACACACTGCCACCAGCTGTGTAACCCTGAGTGCGTCCCTGACCCTTTCTGGGCCTTGGTCCGCCCTCCCCCCCCCATCTGGAAGGGGAAGGAGTCAGCTTTGGACTTCTCCAGTTCCGAACGTTTACCAAACCCTTCGACTATGCCCAGGAGCCGAGGGGGTTAGGGATGCCACGGGCTGCTCACCTCCTCCCTCCATCTTCCCACACCTGCAGGCTCAGGCTTTCGGTGCCTCCTGGACATGATGCCCATCAAGAACGGGATGGGGGAGGTGGTGCTTTTCCTCTTTTCCTTCAAGGACATCACTCCGAGCGGAGGCCCGGGACCTGGCCCCTCAGAAAGCCATGGGGACAGCAGTCACGGTAACGGTGAGTCTGGGGAGAAGGCATGAATGGTCAGAGGTGTATGCCCAAGGTCACACAGACCTCTCCCTCCCCAGCCTTGTGGGATGCGCCCCATTTATCCCCGTACCCTTCTTCCCAATAGAAAACTCCCTTGGCAGGAGGGGAGCCAGCTCAAGACTTCGATTCGCCCGGAGACAGAACCGCACTGTCCTGCGCAGACTGACTGGCCGCTTTGGCCGCCGGGGCCAGGGAAGCATGAAAACCAATCATGTGAGTCCTATCTCCACCCCAACGCCTCCCAGCCGGGATGCCGAGGCCCTGTTCCTGCCTCCCTGCTTCCCTGCCTGTCTGGTCTCCCTCCAGCGACCTGGGCCTCTGCCTGCCCATTTCTCATGTCCAGCTCTGCTCCAACTCATGCCTCCCCTCATCTCCTTCCATCCCCACCGCCCTTGCTTCCTTGTGACTGAGATTACTCTGCTCAGAAGTTGTCACAAGGCTGGGGTCTAGTATAAGGTGACCAGACGACCTGCTTTTGGCGGGACAGTCCCGATTTTTAACAATTTGTCCCACAGCCCGTGGCAAAATGGTAAAAAATCGAGACTGTCCCGCCAAAAGTGGGACGTCTGGTCACCTTACTCTAGCAGCAATTATATCACCCAACTCTGGCTGATAAAGTTACCTAGGTGTGTGTGGGGGGGGGGGGGCGGGATCACAGCTGTGGTCCTAGTGAGAAGGCCCCATTGGGGGCCTCGCATCAGCCTTCCTCTAGGACCCCAATGAAGCCACGGATCAGGTCTCCAATCCTCTGCGTAGTCTCTTAGATCTATAAGGAACGGGGTGTTGTGCCAGTCTCCCCTCAGTCCTGGATACACCGATCTCCCACCGGGCCCCCAGAACCCAAGAAGAACCCGAGGGAGAAGTTAGTGACCCCTCAAGGTAGGGCGTGTGCCTGATTTGTCATGACATCCTTACACAGGGGGACGGTCACTCCTTAAACTCCCCACAAAACATGGCCGATTCACAAGGGGCCCCGGGCAGTAGCTTGGCCAAGGAAGGGTCAGGTGCCACCCCGAACCTCTCTCCTGCACCCTCTGACTCTGCCTGGTTGTGTTTGCAGCGTCCGCTCCCTCTCTTCCCCACCCCTGCCTCTCCCTCCCCCGGCCCTGGCTCCTCTTTCCCCCACGTGTCCCCAACCACCACCCCTCTCCCCTTAGAGCGTGTTTGAGCCAAAGCCATCCGTGCCCGAGTACAAGGTGGCCTCCGTGGGGGGGTCCCGCTGCCTCCTCCTCCACTACAGCGTCCCCAAGGCCGTGTGGGACGGCCTCATCCTCCTCGCCACCTTCTACGTCGCCGTCACCGTCCCCTACAACGTCTGCTTCTTGGGCGACGACGACACCCCCGTCGCTTCCCGACACACCCTGGTCAGCGACGTCGCCGTGGAGATGCTCTTCATCCTGGGTTAGACCCTCTGCCCCCGCACACCCCGGGGAGGAGGCTGGAGGGACCCGCTCATCCTGGCCTTGCTCTGTCCTGGGCTGCAGAACCCAGTCACTTGGAGCCTCTCTCCTGAACCCTCTGTCTCTTCCTGGTTGTGTTTGCAGTGTCCACTCCCTCTCTTCCCCATCCCCTGCCTCGCCCTCCCCCGGCCTTGGCTCCTCTTTCCCCCAAGTGTCCCTGACCATCACCCCTCTCCCCTTGGAACATGTTTCATCTCAAGCTCGGTTCTAGTTTCTGGGTCTTGAAGTCCTAACAGTCCATGTGCCCTGACCCCTGACCCCTGCCTGCAGCCTTCTGCCTCGAGACCTTTCCTCCTAAGGATCAGCTGAAAGCCCACTCTACCTCTCACTCCATCCGGGGTCTCTAATGCTGGTTCCCAGCCTAGCCAGCGTCTGGGCCCTTTGGCCTGAGTTTCTGGACCAGGACGCCCTCGTAACAGCCTCTCGCACCCCCAGATATCATTCTGAACTTCCGCACCACCTACGTGTCCCAGTCCGGCCAGGTGGTCTCCGCTCCTCGTTCCATCGGCCTCCACTACCTGGCCACCTGGTTCTTTGTCGACCTGATTGCTGCTCTGCCTTTCGACCTGCTTTACATCTTCAACATCACCGTGGTGAGTGGCTCCGGGCCCAGCACGCAGCTAACTCCCAGCTTCCGCATGGCACCTGCCACCAAGGGACTGACTCCGAACTCAGACGCAGTCCTTCCCGTAAACTAGGGGTGTCGAACTCAATCAGAGAAGGGTCCAAAATCTAAAATCCAGCCTAAATCGCGGGCCGAATGGTTTACTGAACAGTCAGAAACTGTCATTGTGATGGAAACGCAGCGGAGTGCAGTGATGACAGCGCGGTGCGGGCCACCTTGCAAGGCCTGGCGGGACGGATTTGGCCCGCGGGCCTTGTGTTTGACACATGTGCCGTAAACCCATCGGTGGCTCCCGGTCAGGCATCCACTAGGGGCAGAGCCCTGTGCTAGGAGCCGAAAAGGACCTGAGGGGGTCGGTGAGTGGGGAGCTCAGCGCACAGTCTCCGAGGGAAGCTGAGACACATGAAAAGCTGAGTCGAGCTACCAAGGCAGCGTTGGCCTGATACCAAATGAGTGGTGCTTTTCTCCTTCTTATTGAGCAAACAACTGATGAGCATTTAGCTGTCTGTGAAGTGCTGTGCGGGGCACGGCCACTGTGGGGAAAAGGGACAAGGATTCGGCCTCCCGGCAGCCAGGCTGGGGAGAGGGCAGGACTGGGGCCAGCAGGAACAGAAGAGGTGGATGAAGTGGAACATGGGGCCCTGGTGCTGTGAGTGGAGGCTGGCACGTAGCTAGCTGACCTCGGAGCTCCACACTGGGACGTGGGCATGGGTAAAAAGGATCTAAAATCTAGCCTGTGCTGGGGAGGTCAAAGCACCCCAGTGGGGCAGAGGCGAGGGTGGCCTGGGCAGGGTTCCTGAGGGAGCTGAGAGCAGAGCGAGGCCCTAGACAAAGGGTAGGGCTTGGCCGGCAGGAGATGAAGAGAGAGAGCATGTGGGGGGAGCACAGCAAGCCCAGACAAGGAGGGAGAGGTTGTGGGGAGAGTTTGGAGGCAGAGAGCTAAGACCTGTGTCCGCCCAGCTCCCTAGGGGCTGCAGGGAATGCCCTCGAGTGGTCAGCTCTGCACCCAGCCGGTAGGTAGCAGGTCCAGGGGGAGGGAGTCCCCCGCTCTGTCCCCAGACCCCTCGGTTTGGGCGGGGAAGTGGAAAGCGGTTTCCCTGTGTGCTCCTCTCTCTGCCACACTCCGCTATAGTGGGAAACCACCTACATGCAGCCGGATTTAACTAGCTGCCAACAAGCTGTGGGCCTCTTCTCCTGGCGGTGTGCACGTGTATGCACGCTCCCACACACGTGCGTGTGTGTGTCTGCCCTGAGGCTCGGGCCATTCCAGGAAGCGCTCCCAGCCCCTCCCCGTCCCCTGTACCCACTGGACTGTGCCAGCTGGGCAGACAGCTGCCCCTGGGGAAAGAGAGAGCTACAGAGAGCCCCTTGTCCCTCCTCCCAGGCTCCCCCTCCTCCGGTAGCTTTGGAAGCACTTTACAGTTTACTGAGTTCTTTCACACATCGGGGTCCCATAGGAACCTCACAATAACCCTTCAGGGCAGCTTCTCTTAGCCCTCTTTTTCAGAGATGGATGCAGAGGCTCGGAGAGGTTAAGCGGCTTGCTGAAGGTCACACAGCTAGCAGTAACAGGCATGAGATTGGAGCCAGGTCTCCAGACTCCTAGCCTAGGGTTCTTCCCAACATAGCACCCTGCTTCCCAGGAAACCAGGGTCCCCGAGTGTATGGTCTGGGATACAGGCAGGTGAGGAGCAGTGCTGGGACTGGAGGGAGGAGGGAGAGGATGAGGAGGCACCGGCAGAGTGGTGGAATTGAAGGAGCCAGGTCCTAGGAGAGGGAGAGAAGGGCCCCTAGGGAGTGGGCCCAGGAACAGTGACTGGGGGAAAGTCCTGAAGAACTAAAATCAGGAGCTCTGGGAGGGGAGGGGAGGGGAGGGTAGGCATTAAGCCCTGGAGAGGGCCCATATGGGGGGCTCAGGGCCACCTCCGTCAGCTGAGATGAGAGAGAATGGATGAGGTTGTTCAGGAGCCTGTGGGGCCAGGGCTACAGGGATGCTGCTGGAAGCCCCTGGAGGACAGTGAGGGCCTTCAGACCAGGTTACCTACGCCCTGTCCCAGAGCCCCGCCCTGGTGGTGAGAAGATAAGCCTCCATCTGCTCCTCATCTCCAAGGTTGGGAGAGCAACTGAGGCATTAATAGCCAAATGGAAACAGTGGCACTGATGATATTAGCCAACACTCACAGGAGCCTGAGGAGGGGCCACTGGCTCCACAGCCCCCCACCAAGCCCCACGAGGGTGGAAATCTCGAAGCCCAGGCTTCCTCAGTCCCTGATCTTCTTCCCTGAACATTTCATTGGCAGCCGAGCCATAAGAGAAAAGCGCCCTACACCTAAACCTTGCCTGGTCCTACCTAGCCCGTTCCCACTCTGCCATGCATCCCTCTGTCCCACCACAACTGCTGTCATCACTAGCAACCACTCTTGTCCACAGCTGACTGCTTGGACGCTCGGGGCTTGGTGCAGGCCCAGAGGTCATTCTGTCTGTCCCCCTGCCTTTGCCAGGACTTATTCTTTCCCAGCCCACAGTGCTGGACCCCAAATGGACTTTGGTGGGAGCCCAGATCTGAGTCCCAGCTCTGTCATTTCCTTGGTCTGTGACCTTGAGCAAGTCACTCACCTCTCCGGGCCTTAGTTTATCTGCAAATTGGGAACCATGATGATAACAGGACTGAAAGCTTAACTTTTTAAACGAGGATTACAAAACGTAGCACAGTCCTGGAACATGGTAAGTACTTCCAAAATGTTGGCCATTATTCGTCTTGGTACTATTCTCCCATCCCCTGCATTTCCTGGCCATCCCTCCAACAGGGAAGAGGTGTTCTTCCTGCTGCCGCTTCCCCTGGCCCCAGGGCCTCTGATGGGGGCGGGTCCGGGGAGGGGGGGCCTGGAGGCTCTGAGGGGTTGTGCCTCTGACAGCCTCCCCCACACCCTCCCGCAGACGTCGCTGGTGCACCTGCTGAAGACGGTGCGGCTGCTGCGGCTGCTGCGGCTGCTGCAGAAGGTGGAGCGGTACTCGCAGTGCAGTGCCGTGGTGCTCACGCTGCTCATGTCCGCCTTTGCGCTCCTCGCCCACTGGATGGCCTGCGTCTGGTATGTTGTCGGGCGCCGGGAGATGGAGGCCAACGACCCACTGCTCTGGGACATCGGTGAGCCACTTCCCCCCGCTTTCACGGACCCCCACCCACTGCCCTGTGCGCTAGGCCTGCAGGCCCCCACGCGACGCCTTCACCTGTACCGCCACCCACCACCCACCACCCACATTTCTCTATTCACCCCACCAACACGCACTGAGCTCCTTCTGGATCAAGCGTGGGAATACTGATTTGTAGACAAGGGCTTTGCCTGGGGGGGGGGGGGGGGGGGACCTCACAGCCTAGCAGGGGAGCAAGACGGGTGATAGGCAATCAGAATACGGTATGTAGGGAACCAGGTAGCGTGCGGGGGCTCCTGGTCTTTGCCGGGTGACACGCTCCAGTAGTAGGGGGGTGTTTGGGGCAGAGGGAGCAGTACTCCTCCTGGCTCCTCCTGGTGGCTCCCTACTGCCACCAATTCCACACTCAGTGCCCGCCCTCTCTGTCCCTACCTGGCCCCTCTTTACCCACCCCCACCCCACCCCACCCCTACCCATCCCCCCTGGGCCACAGCCACACTGGCCTCCTCCGGCCCCCACGTTGGACTGCTCTCTCCCTCGGGGCCTTGACCCAGTTTTCCTCTCTGGAATCTTTTTCCTTCTGTCTTCCCTCCCTTCACCTAGGTCTGTGGTCAGCAAACTGAGGCTCGTGAGCCACAGGCGGCTCTTTGGCCCCTTGAGTGTGGCTCTTCCACAAAATACCACGGCCTGGGCCAAGTCTATTTTGAAGAAGTGGCATTAGAAGAAGTTTACGTTTAAAAAAACTTGGCTCTCCAAAGAAATTTCCATCATTGCACTGTTGGTAGTTGGCTCTGTAGACTGATGAGTTTGCCGACCACTGTCCTAGGTGACCTGTCTGTTCCTTACAAACTCAGCTAAAATGCTCTGTCCTCGGGGAGTTTTCAGGGTCCAAACTCTCCCGCACCCACTGTACTGGCTTTCCCTAACCCAGTATGACACCTAAGATACCCTGTTGTTCCCTTTTATTTATTTATGTTTATTTTAAATACATTTTTATTGTTGATAGTATTACAGATTATCTCCCATTTCTTCTTATAGTTCCTTTTTTAGTAGCTCATTCCCTCCAGGGCAGGGAGAATGTCTGGCTGGGTCAAGTTCCAGCACCCTGTGCACAGGAGGCACTCCATAAACTCTTAGAGAGAAGCAGAGGCCCCGAACAGTAGTCAGCAGGGTAGAGAGTCGGTAGCCTTGAGCCGCAACTGTAACCAATTCCCGGTGGGTGGGGAGGCTCAGGCCAAGGCTGCCCATGCAGACCTCCCCTCCCCGCTGCCCACACTTGACTAAAGCGGAGTGCGGGCAGCTCAGGGAAGCCCAGCTCCCCACCACCCGCACCCTTCCACCCCCCAGGCTGGCTGCATGAGCTGGGCAAGCGGCTGGAGGTGCCCTATGTCAACAGCTCGGCGGGCGGCCCGTCCGGGCGGAGCGCCTACATCGCCGCGCTCTACTTCACGCTCAGCAGCCTCACCAGCGTGGGCTTCGGCAACGTGTGCGCCAACACCGACGTTGAGAAGATCTTCTCCATCTGCACCATGCTCATAGGCGGTGAGGCCGGGCCGCCAGGCCAAGCGTGCGGATAGGGAGACCGGGGCCCAGAGAAGGCCATCCAGGCAGTCCTGCATTCACACATAGACTGACCTACAACATACGGGCCCTGGGGGACTCCACGCACAGGCATGGTGTCTTGTTTAGGGAATGGGACACTCAAGTTCATGACCTCATTGGGGGCCGGGGAGGGGCAGGTGAGAGACGCGTCAGGTCTGACCCTCCCCTCAGGACCACTCTCTAGTCCCCTCCCAAGCCAGCCCCTGCCACCAGGCAGGAGCTTAGGAGCCCCCTGGCTCTCCCGCCCTCCCCAGGACCCCAGAGGCCTGTCCGGGGAGGGTGGGTGTGGGAGCGGACAGCCACCCTGACCCGCGGCCCGCCGCCCCTGCCGCAGCGCTGATGCACGCCGTGGTGTTCGGGAACGTGACGGCCATCATCCAGCGCATGTACTCGCGCCGCTCGCTCTACCACAGCCGCATGAGGGACCTCAAGGACTTCGTCCGCCTGCACCGCCTGCCGCGGCCGCTCAAGCAGCGCATGCTCGAGTACTTCCAGACCTCGTGGGCCGTCAACAGCGGCATCGACGCCAACCAGGTAGCGGGCCCAGCTCCCGGTCTTTGCCGGGGGCCGTGCCATGGGGAAGAGGGACAGCCGCTCCCTCCGGGTTTGGGATGGAGGCCGATGGGCTCCAGGGCGGTGAGGTGTTCTTCACAAGGGCTTGTGCCCGCTGGAATCCACACCCCTGTTCCTGTGCACTAGAATCTGGGACATGAAAGGGGGCTCAGGCCTTACCGAAAGCCATGATGCTCCCTTCGGCCAGCAATCCCAGAGCACCCGCTGGGGGCCAGCCTCTGTCTGAGCACAAGAGGCTCCAAGGACCATAGCTCTTTCCCTCAGGGAGACACCAGCCCGGTAAGGGAGGCATTTCACACAGTGAGTGGGATTCTTGCTGGAGGGATGTGCCTGCCACTTGGGAACCCCTCTGTGCTGCATCTGGGCCCAGAGGAGTAAGGGAAGGGGGCACCAGGAAGGACAGGAAGGAAATGGGCCCGCAACCGGAAGGCCATTCCAGACAGGAAGAGCCATGGGAGCTCAGCTCCAGAAACGTTGACACAAAAGGGCGGGGTGATTTCAGGAAACCGAAGGTGGTTCTGTGAGCCCTCAGGAACGGGAGTGTGGGCGCCTTGGTGGGTGGAGAGGGAGAGGAGTGCAAGAGACTGGGTGGGCAGGCCCAGGTCACAGATGGCTTTGATTTTTTTTTTTAATATATTTTATCAATTTTTTTTACAGAGAGGAAGAGATAGAGAGCTAGAAACATCGATGAGAGAGAAACATCGACCAGCTGCCTCCTGCACATCCCCTACTGAGGATGTGTACGCAACCAGTATACATGCCTTTGACCAGAATCAAACCTGGGACCTTTCAGTCTGCAGACCGATGCTCTACTCACTGAGCCAAACCAGTTTCGGCTGGTCTTGACTTTTGATGTTATCCTGCGAAATGTTGAGGTTGGGGAGTGGCCTGGGGGTCTAGGAGAGATGTCTAAGCGCAGGCACCATGGGGCTTGGTGGTCCTGGTTGCAGACGAGGAGCTCAGAGTGATTCCCCGGTTTCTGGCTGGGCCAAGGGGTGTGATGGGAGTGACAGGAAGAAGATTGTAGTTGGGGGTAAAAATGATAGCCCAGTGTGGGGCCGTGATGAGAGTGTGGTGTCTGTGGGAGATCCAGGTGGAGTCAGCCCCGAAGGTAGTTGAAAATACAGGTCTGGGCCCAGATGTAGGGCTCAGGGCTTCCAGGGAGTGGAAGTCATGGAGCTGGTTGCTGTGACACAGGGAGCGTGTGGAAAGTTAGGAGAGAGCCAAAAAGGCACGCTGCAGAAGAGAAACTGGGGAGACAATGGCGACGAGAAAGAGATCAGCAAGCCACAGGGAGTAAAGGCCTGCCTAGAGTGCCGATGGCACCGTGAATATTAAGTTTAGCTCTAGGAGATCATGGATAATATTCAAGGTTGGATGTAACCCAGCGATTTACAGATGGCTCCAAGAGAGGAAACGGATTGCTCAAGGTCCACCGTGACTTAAAAGCAGAGCTGACTTCTAGTCTGGCTTCCCGTCTGAGGCTGACCCACCAGGGAAGGTTCTTGCATTTGTGGTGTTGAGGAACCGGGGCATGCGAGAGTGACTAAAAGTGTAACCAAGGCCAGTGGGCAGGCGGGCAAAGACTTAGTCTCCGCCCCAGCAGTTGGGTTGGGAGGGTCACAAAATTAAGGTCTGAAATGGGTAACTTCGGAGCAAAGGGCAAGTTGGAGTGATCTCCTTGGAGACAGCTCAGCATGTTCGTAGAAATCAGGTAGCAGCTGCAGAGGGGGGATGGCCCGAATGACCTGTGCTCTTTATGCAGTTACTGCGTGACTTCCCGGATGAGCTGAGAGCGGACATCGCTCTGCACCTGAATCGGGAGATCCTGCAGCTGCCGCTGTTTGGAGCAGCCAGCAGGGGCTGCCTGCGGGCCCTCTCCCTGCACATCAAGACCTCATTCTGTGCTCCGGGCGAGTACCTGCTGCGCCGAGGGGATGCTCTGCAGGCACACTACTACGTCTGCTCAGGCTCGCTGGAGGTGCTCCGTGACAACATGGTGCTGGCCATCCTGGGTGAGGAAACCACCCCCACCTACTACCTACCCTGGGACCTTCCCCAGAGGCCCTGTGGGTGGCCAAGAATCTAGAGACTGGGGTGCTTTCAGTGGATATCTGGAATTCCTGCTGAGGAGTACTCTTTCTTGGTCCCTTCACCCTACTATCATCCCCTCTTGGCTGTTCCCCTCAAACTCTCCCCTAATCCCATTGGCCAGCCCTCAACTCATCAACCTTTCCTCAGTGACTGTCTCCCAAATAAATTGATTCTTCACCATTGACCTTCAACTCCATTGACCTTTACCCTTTAACTGACCTCTCTGGCCATTCTTTATTGATCATTGATCAATTCCATTGGTCATTCCTCCATCCTTACTGACACCCTCATTAACTGTCTCCCAACTTCACCAGTCATTCTCCACTAACATTTTCCCAATTCCATTGGTCATTTCCACCAATCCCACCTTCAGCCATCCTTCAGATACCCTGGCCACCCCTCAAATCCATTGGCCAGGTATATCCTCTTGGTCCCTCTCCCCAGCTGACTGGCCCCATCCCTTACCCACAGGAAAGGGGGACCTGATTGGGGCAGACACCATTGAGCCAGGACAGGAGCCTGGGTCAGGAGCAGGCCCGAGCTGCGTGCTGAAGACCAGCGCTGACGTGAAGGCACTGACCTACTGTGGCCTGCAGCAGCTGAGCAGCCGAGGGCTGGCGGAGGTCCTGAGGCTCTATCCTGAGTACGGGGCTGCCTTCCGGGCTGGGCTGCCCCGGGACCTCACCTTCAACCTGCGCCAGGGCTCTGACACCAATGTACGTAGACCCCTACGACTTCCATCTCCCCTGAGGTTCCCTCCTTCAGAGCAGACCTCTCTCAGCCCTAAAGAGAGCCTCATGCATTGCCTTGCACCCTGAAAAGGTCCTCAACCCCAGGCATCCCTGTCCATTGCCCCTTCCATATTTAACACTGACCCTAACCCACTGGCCATCACCCAACCGCATGGACCATCTCTCACCACATTTACTTCCAGCTGTACTAACCATCTCCTGTTGGCCCACCCTCAGCTTCGCTCCAGAATCCCCAAAGGGAACAACCATCCTTCTGTGTTTCCCATCCATCAACTTCCTCTCTGGACGAGGCACCATCCCCTGGGGTTTTCTCACCCCCCCAAATGTTTCCTGAGCCCCTTTTGGTTTAGGTCTGTAGGGTATACCCTAGGCCAGTGGTCGGCAAACTCATTAGTCAACAGAGCCAAATATCAACAGGATAACGATTGAAATTTCTTCTGAGAGCCAAATTTTTTTAAACTTAAACTTCTTCTAACGCCACTTCTTCAACATAGACTCGGCCCAGGCCGTGGTATTTTGTGAAAGAGCCACCATACTCAAGGGGCCAAAGAGCCGCATGTGGCTCGCGAGCCGCAGCTTGCCGACCACGGCCCTAGGCCTTTGTCTTTTACTGCTTTTCACATTGACTTTCCACTCGGGATTTCTCTGAGTTCAGAGTTGGAGGTATCTCTGACTCAAATCCACAAAAGGGCTCCGTATTCTCAAACCCACAATGCTGATGGGTGAGCCGAGGAGGTGTAGCACTCATGGAGGGGGAAGGCGTGAGTAAGGTGGTCCCCTCTGTCCCCACAGGGCCTCAGCCGCTTCTCCCGGTCCCCTCGATCCCCTCGGCCCTCCCAGGTAACCCGGCCTTCCTGGTGGAGTTGAGGTTGAATGGGGGAGTGGTGAGGGGTGGAAGCACCTTCCTTGGCTCCTCTGCTGCAGGGAGAAGGGAGAGGGGATGGGGAGCATCCTCTGCCAGGGAAGACTGTTGCTTAATGAAGGGGCCTGTTGTTCACTGTCCTGCAACATCAGCTGCTCCCTCTGCCCGCAGCCCCACTCCGAAAGCCTTGGCTCCTCCTCAGACAAGACCCTGCCGTCCATCACCGAGGCCGAGGCTGAGTCGGAGCGTGGAGGCGGTCCCAGGCCCCGCCGGCCCCTCCTGCTGCCCAGCCTCAGCCCAGCAAGGCCCCGGGGCTCCCTGGTCAGCCTTTTGGGCGAGGAGCTGCCTCCATTCTCAGCCCTCGTCTCTTCCCCTTCCCTGTCCCCATCCTCGTCCCCTGCCTTGGCTGGCCGAGGACACGGCCCCTCCTCTCGTGGCCCCCCCAGGGGCTTTGCTGCCAGGAAGCCCCCTCAGCTTCTCATTCCTCCACTGGGAACCTTTGGAACTTCGGACCTCAGTCCTCGGTGAGACACCGGCCTCCCCTGCCGTTTCCATACCACTGCTGGCTTCCAGAACCTTCTCGGGGCTCTGCCCCCAATGCTCCCGCTTGTCTCTGCCCCATGTTTCCCCTGTGCCCTTCCTGACCCACCACAGCTTGCAACCCCATCCCATTCTTTTGACCATTGCTCCTCCCCAGCTCCCTGGCACCGCTGCCCCCATGCACCCTCTGCCTGCACTGCTCTGGCCCTTCCCCTCGCCCCCTGGGACTGACGGCCACTGCCTCTGTCCCAGCATAGTGGACGGCATCGAGGACGCCGGCAGCACAGCAGAGGCCCCCACATTCCAGTTCGGCAGGAGGCCTGAGCACCCTGGGCCCCGCTCTCAGGCCTCCCCTCCAGGTAAGGGCCAGCAGTGGACTTCCACTCATAGTCACTCATTCACCTGCCATTCATAGTCACTCATTCACCTGCCATTCATTCATTCATTCATTCATTTATCCAACTATCCATCCCACATGGAGTAAGGGCCTCACCATGTGCTGGGTGCTGTGCTGGGAATACACAGATAAACCAGGCCTGGCCCACACTCCTAGTGAACTCCCCGTCTATTGTGGAGACACACCTGTATTGTCAGATAAATGATTCCAGAATGGCCTGCTGAGCACCACCACTGAGCCAGGAGCAGGGCTCTGAGGTAGGAAAGGAGAGCTCCCTTAACTCTCCCTCCTAGAGGAGGGGGCTCTTGAGTTGGGTCTTCAAGGGTGGGTAGGAGTTTGAGGGGTGGAGTAAGGCAGTTGTTGCAAGGCATAACAGTTATGTTTAGATATCAAAAGGGAGATCCGTGCCTAGAGCTGGGAGGACCAGGGTGATGGGGGATCCTGGGGAAGTCATAGGGCCTCAAGTTTGAGGCCTAAGAGTTTGGTTTCCCCATCATCTTGCCCCAGAGCTTCCTTTCCCCTTGCTCCCTGCCTTCCCAGCGACAGGAGGGGGGCAGCCCAAGCCCCACACATGCTCCCTGCACTCACTGCCTCCCTTTACCCCGTTCTGCCTGCAGGGACCAGGCCCAGCCAGGAGCTGGCCACTGAAGCGGAGGAGATGATGGAAAAGGTCTGCAGGCTAAACCAGGAGGTTGGTTGGGGCTGGTTCCTTGCCTCCACCTTTAGAGAATATCATTTTGGGAATATCATATAAACCATGTTGGGATTTGGAGTCAGAGTCCCGAATTTAAATACTCACACTAGCCCTAGCCAGTGTGGCTCAATGTATAGAGCACTGAGCGGTGGACTGAAGGGTCCCTTGCCACCCCTCACCCCTGTTCGATTCCAGCCAAGGGCATGGGCCAGGGTTTCGGGCTCAACTCCCAGTAGAGGGCGTGCAGGAGGCAGCCAATCAATGACTCTCATCATTGATGTTTCTCTCTCTCCGCCTCTGCCTTCCTCTCTGAAATAAATAATAAAATAAAATAAATATATGTACACTCTCTGGGTGACCTCAGGCAAGTCCCACAACCACTCTGAACTTTGATTTCCTCACGTGAAAATGGGGGAAATAATGCTTTCGTCCCCCTGTGGTTGTGAGGATGCAATGAGAGGGCACACATGCCTGGCTGGTCCCCAGCACAGTCTAAGTCGCCTTGATTGGGGGGTAGAGGACAGGGAGGCTAAGGGGCCTTCAGCCTTGGGGGACCTGGAGCCCAATACCTGAATCCTGATCTGGAAGAGCCCAGATGCTGTATGCGGAGGCTCTGCCTCAGCCTCCTCCCCAGGGATCTCAGAACCGTCGCCAAGGCGAAGCTGCCCAGCCCTTGGGAGTTGGCCTTCCCTCCTTCAGATAAACATCAAGCTTCCCAGGGGAGCACCTGGGCTGGGCGGGGCCTGGGGCCGAGGGCGGGGCCAGCCCCTGTTGGGCCGGCTTGAGGGCCAGCCCTGCTTCTGCTCACAGTTCTAGGCCAGGGGCTCCTCACTGGAGCGTCTCCGGGCGCCCGGAAATCCTGGTAAAATGCACACTCCTGGGTCTCACCCAAATGGGGAGGTCTGGGGCAGGGCCCAGAAGTCATCTGAATAAGTTTCTCAGTTGATTCTGTACTCCCTGACATTCGAAAAACACTTGAGCTCTTGGGATGGGATCACCTGACGGTAAGGCTACCTCTGCGGCTTCAAAACCCTGTAACCTCTTCGAGCACATTTTTCTGCCTCTTGTAAGAGTGGGGTGTTGGGAGGATGGCAATCGCTGCTGTCCCCAATCCTCTTTGGCAAAGGGCTGGGATAGTTACCGCTAGACAAAATGACCCCTGCCCAGAGCGGTTAGGAGAGAACTCTGTAAACGGTAGAGGGGGGAGCACCTAGGAGGGGGCTGACGGTTGTGACACCTGGGAAACAATTTGGTGTGTTTTCAACAGATCTCCTGCCTCAACCAAGAAGTGTCTCAGCTCAGCCAGGAGCTCCGGCACATGATGGGCCTGCTGCAGGCCAGGCTGGGTCCCCCAGGCCACCCGACAGGCTCAGCGTGGCCCTCAGACCCTCCGTGCCTCCAGTGGAGGCCTCCACGCATCTCTCCCTGTCGGTCGGGACCGCCATCTAGCATCCAGGATACTACTCTCGCTGAGGTCCACTGCCCAGCCAATGTGGGGACAGCAGAGATGGGGGCTGCCCACCCCAACCTCAGACCCTACATGTTGTCCCCCTACCCTTCAGAACCTGACCCTCTGGGACCCTCCCCAGTGCCAGAGGCCTCACTTCCAACTCCCAGCTTCCGGTCCAGGTCGGACACATTCCACTGACTCTGGCCCTGGGCCCAGGCCTGTCTGGGGTGGGCATTGCCACCTGCCACCAGGGAGGGGCTGAGCCCAGGGCCTCCTGCCTCGGGTCAGCAGCCACCAGCTGGTCTGGTTGGCTCTGGATTCTCAGGACCTTTTTCATAAAGCCTGGTCACTTCTGACCCTCTTTCCTTCTCCGAACCTTCTCCTACACTCCTCCTTTGGGAGGGGCGTTACCTCAGGCCATGGAGCCCAACAGGCATGAGACAGAGCACGATGCCCATCGGCTGGGCAGATGAGATGTCCCGCCTTCTCCTCAGGACCTGGAGGCAGGTAGAGATGGGGGAGCAGACGGGGATGGGGAAGGGCCCCAGATCCAGCCTGGGAAATGAAGAGTGAGGCCACAGCAGGCGGGCTCTTGGTGTCTACAGCCAGAGGGATAGATCGCAGATCCCACTGCAGAGACAGCGTAGTGATATTGTGAGGTGTTCTGTACCAGCCCCTGGTCTCTGGCGGAAATCTGAGGGCTAAGTTTCAGATCCTGGCTGGCATTTGAGCAAACCAAGACTTCTTAGGCCTCTTACTATCAACCTGAACTGGAGGGGCTCACAGCCCACACAGGCAACAAAAGGATGACCCCCAGATATTCTTTGGCTCTCAACGTTTTTTTAAAAAATGAATGAGTTGCCAACATTAAAAATCAGGAGAGCATACATAAGAACCAAACTATTCCAGCCTCTCTATGAAACGTTGGGAGACCTGGCAATCCATATGCCACCAGGCAGTCATCAGCTGGTGTTGGGTGGCCGATGTCTTCTGTGGATGGGGACCGTCCTCTCCACTTCTTCACAGCCTCCATATTTCTTCAGCATCTCCTGATACTCAGCTAACTCCCCTCACTTGGATTATCTGTCTGGTCTTTGTGGGGTGTGAGTTTTCAGTCCTTGCCGTAGAGTGTGTTTCCAGGATCCTGTGTCCCAAAAGGTACCTTTTGGGTTCGGCAATGTCTATTTCTACTCCTGGGTATGGGCCTGTCAACATCTCTGTTTCTCTCTGCAGGCTGTCACTAAAGGTGGTCTCTTCTGTTGCCAACAACTTGAAACAGCTCCAGCAGCACTGCTGCCCCTCCCCTGCCTCCAGGCTTCAGCCAAGCCTGCTCTCCCCTTTACCCACATGGTCTCCCTCGGAGCCCTGACTTCTCAGTCTCACCCTGGTCTCCAGTTCTCCTTTACCGCTCGACACTTTGGGATAGGAAATAAATTCTTTATTTTTGTAGTTGTTGTCTCTGGCTGTTTCTAGAGGTTGGTCAGAGAGCCCCAGGGCTTTGGAGGAACTACACTGCAGTGACTCCCCACCGTACCCCAGGGCCCGGTTGCTGTGTCTAGAAAGGGCAAAGGCGACATCCAATTCACTTGGTACCATGTTCAGGCCCCAGGGGCCCCAGGGATGAGGCAGAAATCTTAATGAGTCACTATGGGTATTATTCCCCTCCCTCTTCCTTCCCCAGTTACAACCATAGATTAAGACACAGTATGTGGGGGACAGAGTCCAGGTTCAGCCTCACCCCCAGGCCTGGAAAGGTGGCCATGGAACTCTCCATTGAGCCTGTGCCCATTGCAGGCCAGGTACAGCAGGGCCTGGGGGAAGGTCTGGTCACCAGCCAAGAACTGCTAGGAACCTTACTCTGCTCCGTCCTCTGCTCTCCTAAGCCCTTTCTTCCCTCTTAGTTTTTATTTATCTGATGACCATCGCAGGGGTGGATGGGATGAGTGTTAGGAATGTTGTTAGAAAGAGGCCCCCTCAACACCAGATGGGAGTAGGTGTGAGCAGTTTGTGGCCGGTTATCTCAGCGTATGATTGGTGTTGGCTGGTGTCATAGGAACAATGCCCACAGCTGTCTCTGGGGTGAGCTTGGATTCCATACAGGTCTTGAATCGTGTCCCAAGGGGTGAGATGCAGAAGCAGAGAAGGTATGGTCTTTGTTGGGGAGTAAAGGGTGGGCGGGAGCATAAGTGGTCCTAATCCATATTGAGGGGAGCAGAAAAAACAACAGTCCTGATACCTATGGAGAGGGCAAGGTGGGGGCAAAGAGAAGTGGTTCTATCTGTATTTATGGATGAGGAAGACAAGGCAGAAATGGTCCGGCTCTGCATTTGGCATCGGAGACAAGAGCTGGTTCTGGTTGGGTGTAGGGGGCAGGCCAAGGCAGAGGTAGTCCGGGTGTGTTTTGGAGTCGAGCCAAAGGAGGAGGGTCCTAGTTTACCGCTGGATAGTGGCAGGAGTTTTCCCTTTGATCTCACCCAGTAGCTTCCAGAGAACCCTTCCATCACCTTCCCCATCACAGAATGTCCCAAATAATCCAGCTCCCAGAGCTGACTTGGCCCGAAAGTGCAGCCGGGCTTCTCCGGGTTAGTGAGAGCTCAGGATCGGACCAAGCGGCCCCATTCACACCATGTTTTTCCTCTCCCAATTCTGCAACAGCCTTCAGCCCTCTCCCAACGCTCCGCCAACCGCTTCTCCTTGGGGTGTCCGGAACGCGCGGTGTGCCGGTTGGCAGGCCCGGCCTTAAAAACTTCCCGGCCGGGCTCCGCCTCGCCGGGAGCGGGCTCCACCCTACGCCCAAGACCCTGGCAGCCACTGGCTCCTCCCAGCGCTGCGAACTACAAGTCCCGGCGTCCCTAGCGCGTCCGTTCCCGCCTCTCCCGCGCCCTCCAAGGGCACCGCCTGCGAGTCCGCCAAGAATGCCTCTCATTGGTCTCTCCGCCCTGTCAGTCACCTGAAGCATTGAGGGGCGGGTCGGAGATGGAGATCCGGATCCGGAGCCGCTGAAAGGCGGAAGTGGAGGCCGGAGACACCGCCGGGGGGAGAGGAGCGGAGCCAGTCCGAGCCCTGGCCCCAAGTAACGCCGCCGCCCCAGAGCCGCCGTGAGTGTCCCCGTCCCGGGACCCAAAATCCCGCTCGCGTTGAGGTGTCTTCGGGGTAGCCCTTCCTCCCGCCCATTCCGGCTTAGAGGGAGACTGACCCCTCCCCCGACCCGTAGCCCCCTCTTAGGAGTTCCCCAGGCATCAGGCCAAGAAGGGAGCTCTTCTTTCCTTCCCTTACCTGCCTTTCGTGCGCCTTGGGAAACTCTCCCGGCTCCCCTCCGGCCTGTCCAGTCCAGTTGTGGGAGGGAGAGACCCTAAGTTCCGCTCCAGAAGTTCCGCCAGGTGTGAAGGAGCCTGTCTCCCTTCTTTTAGAGGTGGCGAGGAGTGCTGTCTGTCGCCCTTTTCCTCTCTTCCCCCTTCCCACAGAAACAGTGGTCTCTCCGACCCTTGAGGAGTTTTATGTCTGTTTCCTGGAAGGGGGGATTTAGGGGGGTCCTGGGTGAGACCGTCACATCGCACAGGCTCGCACAACTCCTTCCTCTCTTTCCTCAAGCCAGGCGCCAACCAGGGTCTCAGCAGAGTTCAATAGGAATGAGCTGTCTTCACGTCTCGCCCCCTCGACCCCAGCCCTGCCCCCTAGTTATGTTGTTCTCCAGTTGTGTTATCCATTGAGCGTATCTCCCTTCCTGCCTCTGAACATTTTAGCTGAGGTTTGCTCAATTCTGGCTACAGCTCTGGGCGGATCTGCCCATTCATTATCTTCTCACTCCTCCTCCCTCCTTGCTCCAGGCTCAGGACTGTCCTTCCAGAGCACGTGAGTGGTTTTCAAGCTGCTTCAGAGGGACTGCTCCTCCTTGGACTGCTGTCTGCTGGTCTTTAGGGAGGAGAGGAAAAACAAAAACAAAAACAAAAATGAAGAGCCTGGAATTCAAGGGTCCTGGGCTATCTCTTTCAAGCCCCTCCTCGCCTCCCAATGAAAACACACACACATACCTTCCTTATCAGCTAGTAGTTCTAGTTCCACTTATCTCCAGTCCCTTCTGGGCTTGAACAATTTGTAAATTATAGAAGAATCAATTGAGATCACAGTGGCACCTTTGGGTTCTTAATGTGCTCATTTTTTGTAGCCCAAAGAACAGCCATATATGCCAGAAAGTGCTGATTTCCCCGGCCTTTCCAAGAGACAGCTCTTGCTGACATCCCTTGTCTATTGCTTGGGACTTAGGTGTGTGAAATGGCTGCTGTCTCAGATCAAGCTGGGAGGTTCTTTGTGATGTGACCAAAGTACAGGCCAGAGACTGTACCTTAAAGAGAGCAGCCTGACTCTTGGAGGCCACGGCTGACCCCAGCTATCTCCAGCGAAGGCAGGGAGGGAAGGCCATGCAGTCTTTGGGGATTTCTTCAGTGTTCTGGGCTATCTTTACTGCCCTTGGATGCTGTTTACAAGTACTAGTTGTTTGTTTGTGTGTGTTTTTTTTTTTGCCTTGAGATCTTTCTGACTGCTTCTGGACTTCACCAGTGTCTGATGCCCACACACTTTTGAGCTAGACCTTGGATGCACTTATTTCACTTTTCATTGGACAATAAAAACACCTTCCTTATTAGGATCAACAGTCAGATCACAAGCTCTCTATCTGTCTGGGCTTCTTTGGAGGGTCACTGGAGACTTCTGCAGGCAACCTCGTTTCTCTTAATCTGGTCAGCCTGGGCCTCTGAGAGGATGAGCCTGGGAGGCCTGAGCGCTCACCAGGCCTGCTGACCACACTTACCTCCTTAGCAGTAGGCTGTGGTTTCTGGAACCCTGGGCGTCTCAGGATGAAGCTGACCAGTCTTCGAGGAGACCTTCGCTGTCTGGACCTGTTCTCCCAGCTCCGATGCTGGAGTAGGCTCTTGAAGGAGAAGCTGCCCCTTCCAGAGAGACAAGGAAAGCACCAGTGCTCCGGATGGTTAGGCAGCCACTTCTGGCATTGAGAGATCTGGAGAGATCTGACACTGCTTGGCAGAAAGAGAGGGCTCTGTGTGGGATAGAAGCCCCTCTTCCGTGATGCCCTTCCTCTCTCCTCTGGCCTCTTACCACTAGTAAGCCTTTTCCTGCCTTTATACTACAGAAGGGTGGTAACTACTAATTTTCAGAAGTTATATTCAAGCTGCAAAGTTCTTTTCCCACATGTTCCTCATTAAGAGTCCTGGGAGATAGTGGGATTTGTACCTCCACTTCAGAGCTGCCGCTGAAAGAATTTACGTAGTTTGCCTTGGAACAAACGATTAGAACGTGGTTGAGCCGGGACTTGGGATTAAATGTGCCTCGTCTTCCCTAATAGTGGGCCCTCCTTTGGTCTGTGTTACAGGAGTGAACATGCAAAGTGAGCAGCCAGTGGCCCAGATATAGACCCTTTAGCATTCCGCGTCATTGGGATCCTCTGCTTCTGGTTTTCGTCCTCTCTCCTACCCCCCCTCCTAGCCTCTTTCTTGACCACCTTTCCTTCTGCCTGTGGAGACCAAGAGCAGTTAGGATTCCTATGCCACTGCTCTGTATGGGCCAAGAGTTTGCTGACATCTGCATGCCATCAATTTTATAGGAACCTGAAAGTCATGATGGCTAGAAAATGAAAGTAAAAGAGAGTGGACCCGGGGGTCCCTATAGACCAGTGGTTCCCAATGTGGGGCACACGTCCCACATGGGGGCAATTTGGGTTTTTAAGAGGGGCAATTTGAGAATGAATTATTAACAGTGAATTTTTTGCATTTCTTATGGTTCTAAGGGCCTTATATACAGTATGTAAATATATACTGTGACATATTTATACATTTCAGTTCTCTTACATGTTTTGAAACTTTGCTATTTTTCATATCACTTCATATATTTTTTTTAAACAATTTCTTAGTGATTTTTTTTTCTCAGTACTTCTTTCGTTCTTTTATTTTTCTCTTTTGTGGATGCCATGTTCTTTGGAAGCTTGTTTAGAGCACATTAATGGCCTTTTAGGCTTCTGCCATGTGACTAAGAGTTCACTTTTTGAATAGTAAGAATTATATGTCGTGGGGTGGGGGGCATCAGGATTTTAGAGATGCTTAAATGGGGCACGGCCACAAAAAGGTTGGGAACCACGGCTCTAGACAGAGTCAAGGGCATGGGGAACCAGCAGAGCTGGCTTCTGCTTAGGGCCCCCTCCCCCACTCCCCTTTGCTGCTGCCTACTGCTTATAAGTGGGAAGAACGTAGCTCTCCACCAAGAGGTCTTTTCACTAGAATTTACATGGAAAGAGAACAAGATTTACATAAACTTAATTCAGCCCCAACAAGCAAGTACTTGTTAGAAAGAATTTTCTTCTTCTAACCCCTGCCCTGTAAACAGAGGTAGTGTGATGGGGTGGGAGGCAGGAGAGCTTTAGAGTAGTCACACCTTCGTTGTCATCTGGACTCCCCCATTTACCAGTTGCATGGCCTTGGGCTTGTTACTTACTTGACTTTGCTGAGCCTCTGTTTCTTCTAGTGTCATGGGGATACAAAATATCTTGCAGAATCAGAAACAAGAGGTAAAGCAGCTAGTCCAGTTCCTGGCACAGAATGGATACTCAACAAAATAACAAATTGGTGGGTCTTTTTTTTTTAATCCTCACCCCAGGATATGGTTTTTGTTTTGTTTTGTTTTGTCTTGTTTTGTTTTGTTTTTTCATGGATTCCAGAGAAAGAGGAAAGGAGAGGGAGAGAAACATTAATGTGAGAGAGAAACGTTAATTGGTTGCCTCTGGAAGGAGCCCTGACTGGGGCCAAGCCTGCAACCTGGGTAAATGCCCTGACCAGGAATCAGATCTGTGACCCTTCAGTGCATGGGACAACGCTCTAACCAACTGAGCCATACCAGCCAGGACAGGTCTGTGGGATTTTCAAGGTACATGATAATTCATTCCTATGATTCTGATTCAACGTTTGTAACAAGTTACTGTGATGCTAATCCTTTGCTGGACAGTTTCACATATTTTCTTGTTTTATAGATATTAAACAGAACTGCTGTGGGTTGTATTCCTGTTTTACAGAATACATTGTTAACTAAGACCATGCTTATATTTCTCCCACTGTGGTTCTTGGATCCTACTGGGGTCATGTGCTGTGGATACTTGGAACCCTAGACCAGATGAGATCTTGTAAGCACTTCTGTCTTACTCAGTTTTTTGTTTTGTTTACTTATTAATTTGGAAGAGAGGAAGAGAGAGAGAAACATCAGTTTGTCCACTTATTTATTCATTCATTGGTTGATTCTTGTATGTGCCCTGACCAGGGATGGAACCCCAACCTTGGCATAGCGGGATGCTGTTCTAACTAAGTGAGCTACTCAGCCGGGACCAATCTTACTCAGTTTTAAACATTTTCATATTAAAACAGCCCTGGATCTGTTATAAATTGGAATGCAAAGTTTGCATAAATGTAGCTAAAACAGGAAACTTGAGGACAATATTTTGGTTACAGCAAACTTCTTTGGGTTCAATTCCCAGATTCCTAGAGTTTGGCATTTCCCTCCCTAACTTGAGTCTGGGTTACATTTGTTGAGGTCATTTGAGAAGGGCTGTATCCAGTAGAATTTGTAAATTAGGATGTCCCTAAATCCAGGTAAGAGTGCCTTGAAGAGCCATGGCAGAGGAGAATATTTCTTAGGGTGTCCTCTGCATTAATAGCCTGCTATAATAAGAGATTCATTTTCTGAGTAAATGTCCTCATCTCCTGTATATGGAAACAACAATTCAAGTAAAAGCTAAACTGTTGGAGCTTTATTTCATTCTGGAGACCCAGTGCACGAAATTTGTGCACGGGTAGGATCCCTAGTAGCTGCCAGCCGGGCCTCCCTTCCCCCAGCTGCCTGCTGCTGCCACCACTGGTCAGGCCAGGCCCGCAGGCGGTTGGCCACCCAGCCCCACCCCCTGGTCGAACTCCTGGTCGAGGGGACAATTTGCAAATTAGGCTTTTATTATATAGGATGTGCCAGGCACTCCAGAGCCGTTCCCATGTGTTGACTCCTTTGGTCTCCACAATAGCTCCAGGAGGAAGGTACTGTGCATAATGCC